AGACTTAGAGAAAAGTTGGAAATAGTACCGAGAATTGCTCTCCTGCCGCCCTTGAAATCGACATACCGTAGCACGTTCATGGACGACGGGAAATGAATATAACACCCGACTGTCGGCTCAACTACGCGCCTGACTTACGTTCCCCATTCATCTGTGCCGTTCATCTGCTTTCTCTGCTCCAGGTCCTGCTCAGGCCCCGCCCTGCCTTGTGATTCCCCTTCACCTCCAGGCTTTGCCCCGCTTGGTGATCCTCGGGCTTTTGAGCAGAATGAATATTTACCAGTTATTCTGGTAAATGTCCCTTGCGGACATGTGTTTTCTTATGAACTTTCAATGTGGTTTTTTGGGTTTTTTCTTTTTCTTTCTTTCTTTTTTTTTTTTTTTTTTTGCCTGTTTCGTAGGTGAGAAATGGCTCCTCGGTGTTCTTTCCATTGGCTATGTAGTCTGTCTGGGCTGCTCTCACAAAAGACCACAGACGGGGTGGCTTCTGGACAACAGAAACGTAATGCTCACAGTTCTGGGGCTGCGCGATCCCAGCTGGGTGCCGGGAAGGTGCTCTCCTCTGGAGACAGGGAGTGGGTCCTCCTGGGCTGGTGGGTGGGGCTTGGGAGCTCTGTGGGGTGTCTGATCAGGCACCACCTCCCCTTCATGCAGGCTCCACCGTCATGACCTAATCACCTCCCCAAAACCCACCTCCTAACGCCACCCCCTGGATCCTCAGGTTTCCCACCTAGGAATGAGGGAAGCAGCATTTATGTTTCTGGGATTGAGTGGATCTGAGTATTTATCACGTATAAGGATCACGTATCTACCTTGTTGGTAAATTTGTCTTCCTAATTTTTCCATTGGCTTTTCAGCCCTTTGTCCTTCATTGTTGGAGAATTCTTCATGGATTTTAGGGCTCTCGGCCCTTTGTCTGTGGTGTGCGCTGATATTTCCTCCCTCTCACTGACTGTCTCTTGACTTTGCCGGTGGTTTTCGTCACACACATTTTTTTGGTTTTTATGTAGCCACGTTTATTCATCTTTTACTGCCCCTGGATTTTGAATCATAGTTAGAAAGCCTTCCCCAGCCAGGTTTTAAAGAATTCGTTCATTCTTCTAGTACTTGTGTGGCTTCCACGTTTACATCTGGGTCCCTAACCATTTGGGGTTTACTCTCAGGCATGGCGTGAGCTACGGATCTGTTTTCATCTTTTCCCAATGGTCACCCAGTCATCTCAACACCATTTATCACCAAGTCTGTCTCCCCCCAGTGATTGATGTCTGTAGTGGGGTCCTCCCCAAGAAAGAGGTGTCTTTACATTTGTTCAGCGTCGTTCAGGGGTGTCTGCACGTCTCTCTTGTGTGGTTTTGTACATTTCCTATTAAATGAAGTCTCGTAAGGAGTCTTCTTGTCATCGTCAGGGAGGGTCTCGCTTACCATTAGACCTGTTTGTTGCTGTGTGAGCTGACTGTCATCCTGGCACTTCCCCAAAATCCTGTTCCCGGGCTGCTTTTCTCATTGATTCTGTGGGGAATATAATTGTCTTGGAGTTAATTCTCACCCTTGTAGAAGGCGGGTTCTCAGGGATATTTCAGGGTAGAGCGGAGGTGAGGTGCTAATCTCGCAGCGGAGGGCACAGCGTCTGGCCTGCTCCCCAGTGCGGGCCTGGCACAGGGATGAAGCATGCAAAGGGAGAGGGCAGAGGCCTGCTTGCTGACCACCTGGGGACTCCAGAGTGAGCCAGTGGCTGGTGAGGTTGCTGAGATAATAATTCCCCTATAGCCCTGATAGAGAAGCATGTTTTAAAGATTAAAATGCAGGATCCACACGGCCCGGGGGAGCCCTCCGACAGCTCCTTCCCCAGGAACTCCTCCAGTGAAGTTGCAGGGACTCTGGTCACCACCCAGCCAAGTACAGGGGCGGGGTGGGGGGGTCTGAAAGAGCAGGAAATAGGCCCTGCTGTACTCTCTCTGCCTGTGATTCATTTAACGCACCCCTTCCCAGCCGTGAGTCACATAACACAGCCCCTCTCCATGTGAGGGGGTGAAGATGGAACCCCGTGGCCCAAGGGAGGAAGGAACAAGACGAGAGAAGTTAGGTGACCTGCATAAGCCTCCCACTCAATAACCCCAAACCTAAGTCCCATCCACAATATCAAGTGGACCCCAAAAGGAAAGATTCATTTGGCACGTGGTCACGGGACACCACTCTGGAACCTGGGCACTTCCTCCGAGGAGCCGGGGACTGCCACCATCTCCCCACCCCTGGCGACAGAGCAACCTGCTCCACGCACGAGGGATGCTGGGCCCGTGGGGAGGGCGGCCCGCCAAGAAATGAGACCACAGATCAGAAAACCATCCACTGATTGTGTAAGCAAACCCAGGGCCTTGTTGGTACAAGAGCTGTCAGTTCCCACGGCCTGAGAGGCATCTCCCAGCGCTCGCTCGCATGCCGCACACTGTCTGGGCAGACCCAGAGGCCTTGGAAAAGAAAGGAAAAAGAAAGGAAAAGAAAGGAAAGGCCAGGAGGCACTTCCCAGCAGTGCCATTCTGACGACCAGCCTCCACCAGGCCTGTGCCTGCTCCCTACTCAACAGGGCAGTGAGACAGTCCCCTGATTAGCTGGGGAGCGTGTCCGCAGCACTCTGATGGAAAGCGAGGGTTACCATGGTTACCACAGTTCTCAAGCTCTTGACAGCTCACAGCCAGTTTTCTCGGTGCTTCTGCTAAACCAACGTTTATAGGCACTGGCTGATGCCAGGCTCTGGTTTGGTCCTTTCTATACACCACGTCAGTTACCCTCACGGCCCTTCCTGACATGCCAGAGCCATCCCTCACGAAGGGATACACAACACACCAAGTTTCTTTGACCTCCTGCATGTGCAATTCTAGAAAACATACATCTAGAGAGGTGGTTCTCAAAGGTGGTCCCTGGAAAGTTGGCAGAAAACAAATTCTCAGATGCCCTCCCAGACCTGCTGAGGTAGAAACGCTGAGAGTGAGTCCAGAAATCGGTGTCTTAACACATCCCTTGGGGTGTTTAGAGGCTCTGAAGTTGGAGAACCCTGAGTTAGAGAATCCCAAAGACCACACGAGCCGCTGCAGGACACCTGAAACATGCTTCCCAATGTTCGTTCCAAGGAACACTCGTACTTCTAGGGACTGCTAATGACAGCCCCACTGTCCCCGTCAGAGTCCCTAGCCGAAACTGTTTTCACTGCAGGACTTCCCGAGTGTGCACTAAGTTAATGTACCCTGTGCTTCTCAGAGAGAGCACCCAGGTGTGGTCCCCAAACTTCCTGAACTACAGCACCCTCTTTTCTCAGAACACCTGTGTTTCACGGGCTCCCGTCGGGGGAGCACTAGTCTCGGAGCAGAAAAAGCCAAGAAATGCAGATAAGCAGATGCCGACAACCACCTTGGTGTCTACACGGCGGGCTTCCTCCTCGAGTTTGTTTAATGACAGCTTTTGCTGTCACAACTCACAGAAGCGAGAGGAACGCGGAGTTCAGTGTGGCCTCAGGGGAGCGGCAGGGCTGGGGTTATTAGGGAAAGAAAAGTGTGTGCCAGTGACCCGGGGGCTTTCACGAGTAATCCACAGCCAGAGCCCAGAGGCCCGGAGCATTACTGTTCCCGAAGCTGAGGGCTGACATTTGCAAGAGCTCTCAATTATTTTAATAACCGTAACTCTTCAGGGTGGAGAGGCCAAGAGGATACACTTACTCTCCCACAGACATGTGAGCATGGAGAGGGGGCGCCCCCCTCTGGCCACGGGCTCCAGGAAAGCAGAATTGGGGGCAGCGCCGCCTGCTGAGTTGTGACTACCTGCATCCTTCCCCAGGCCCAGGTAAGGGGCACCTGAGGATGCAGCCTTGGGTGGGGATGGGGGTATTTCTCAGCTGGGTGAGGGGCTCAGGTGGAAATGGAAGGGGCAGGAAGAGGAGAGGCAAAGTGAGAACGAGCAGGGTGATGTGTTCACACACTCGAGAGTGGTCACTCACGGTTAGTGAGCGCCTCCTGAGAGCCAGCCGTGGGAGTCAGTCGGGTGGGCTCAGCGCTCCCGGGGCTGGCCTGGCGGGTGGCCCCGGGGGGTGGGAGTCAGAGGAAGGGCAGAGCAAGCAGGAGGGCCTGAGGGCACAGCACTGAGCTCAGGAGAGTGGCCAAATCTCTTGCCTCTCCCCCGCAAACCTCCACTTCCACAGCCTCTGGCAAAGCCCTGTCGGAACTTTCCAGACTGTCTTAGTTGTGCCTTGCAAAAGTCATCAGCCATGTCTGAATGAAAGTGTGAGGGCAGGGGCAGTGTGCCTCGTTAGAGCCAGTTGGAGCTCGGGCGCCCTCTTGGACAGTGTGGCCCGGGAGGCAGCCAGGAGGCGGGGTGGGGGGGTCCGGCAGGGCAGGAAAGGCAGACGCAGGGCGCCCACCACCGCAATTCATTTACACCTCTGAGAAATGACCCTTCTCTCTTGTTTAAAAACAAACAAAAAAATCACCAGGCACACAGAATATTCTGAATGGCTCTAATCACGTATCTAACATGTAAAATTAATAAGTTCAACTGTAACTTGGAATTAGTGCGCTAAAAATGCTGACTGGAAGGAAATGTATATAGGCTGTTTGAGGTTCTTGTTTTTCTTAATTAGCAAGAGTCGAAGCAGTGGAGGCGGCTCTGGGCCTCTGACAAAGCAGCCTGTGGAGCAGCCTCACGGCAAGACACCCACAGACCTGGCACCGCACAGGCCTGGCCGCCCTGCTGGCTCTTCGGGGATGCCAGCCGCTGCCCACTGCTCCTGGCTCGTCCTGGAGTCCCTGAGGCGTGCCCTCCTGTGCTCTGAGCGCTGGGGCCTGTGCCCGCCATGTGCCATCTGCCCTTGCCCTGCCCTGGCTCGCGGCAGCCCTGCCAGCACTAGCCCCGCCTGCCACATAGAAAAGCAAGCCGGGGCCAGAGGTCATTTCTGGTGACATCTCTGAACAGGGAGATTTTGCCACCAACCCCAGACACGGGGGCCACACCGGCATCCCCAGGGTGCCAGGGTGGGAGGGCACTGACCTCTTTTGGACCCACCCACTCCAGGTTAGGACACACGGTGCCCAACAAATAGGAACACATCCCCCCAGCAAGGGGCACAGGGAGCAACACGTCACTGACATCCACCCCGAATTAAACATCAGGCTTCAGGCGGGGTTAGGCTTTCTTAGGATTTATTGGCTACCGCAGAGCAAACTTGAAAAGAGAAAGCACATTTCCTGCACAGCAGATACTCAGACTGCGCTACGGAGAGAAGAGGCGTATTCCAGCTTCCTGGAGAACGCCGGCCAGGAGTCCTGGCAGCAGAGGCTCTGGCCTCTCCAGCTTTCTGGTCACCACTGATATTTGGACACCAAATGTCCACTCTGGACGCTGCCCCTTGTCCTGCCCACAAGGCCCAGGAATGGGTCCAGACGGGAAGGACGAGGGGCCAGGGAGTGTGTCCGCTGGGACGGGCCGCAGGGGCCGAGTCGGCTGCTGGTGGGGAGGGGAGGGTGCTGTGTTCAGAGGCGGGGGCAGAGCGCTCAAATCTCATTTTGCAGCCAGGTGCTGCTGGGGAGAGGCTGAGGCCTAACTGCCCAGAGTTCACCGCGGGCCCTTTCCATGTGTGCCGTCTTCCTGAGGGTCTCTCTGCCCGCTTCCACGATGTCAGAAGCTCTGGTGCTTCAAGAAGAGTCGTTGCAGGCCAGTCCTGGCTTTCTCATGCGGGCTGTCCCTGAGGAGACTGCTCTTCCTTCCTCTGGCTTCCGACCTGATGCGCCAGGCAGCTGTGCCTCCATGCCCTGATGCCACTGAGCAGGAGCGGGTCACTCGGAGCCAATAAAGGTGCTCCGTGGCACAGTGTCGACTTGGACGGGAAGACATTGCGAAAGGACGTAAGGCTACTGGTGCCCAGGCCCCAGGCTACAAATCTCAGTAATTCCAAGGATGAAAGTCCTCATACAAGGCCATTAGGGAACAAGGGAGCCCCAGAAGCTGGGGCTGGAGGCCCCCTGTTCCAGCTCAACATCAGGCCAACTGGCCAGGCGCCAAAAGCCATTTCTCTGATATGGAATTGGCAGAAGCTCAAGCAGGACATTCATCACCAAGGAGACCGAGCGCTACTCGGGAGCCAAGGCCTGGTTCTCCTGAGGACATGGAAGTCCGCATGTGAGATGGTAAACGGCTCAGGGGCCTTGTGCCGGGAAACCACCGAACGCTGGGCTCAAGCCAACGCAGCACAATTCTGGGACCGCCTAGAAACGCTGACTGTCCCCCAGGACGGCCCATATAATGAGATGCTATTAGCTCTGTGCTCTGCTGGTTCTCCCCCAAAATGTGAGGGTCTCCAGCAGGGGGAGGCCAGCCTGAGGGGGAGCAGCTCTCAGGTGAGGGAGCCTGGGGCAGGAGGACATTGGGCAGTTGGCCAAAAAGCCAGCAAAAGTCAAAGGCGCTGGATCCACTTCACAGCTCATCCTGAGGAGTCTCCGCCCTCTTTGCGCTCCCTCCCTGGGAGGTAAGACCCTGCCCTGCCCCACTGGGGGGCCCAGAGGGTTAGCCATCATGAGCCCAGCAGATCTCGGGAGGCTCTCCCCTTAGTCAGAGGAACCCAGCGCGGGAAACCACCAGGAGAGGTGCCAAGGGGCACCGCAAACCGATTGGTCCCGCTTGTCCCATCTGTCATTTACCTACGAGCCAAAGACCCAGGACAGCGAGGACAGTGGCGAAGGCGCAGAGGCCCTTAAGAAAACACATCTGGCCAGATGGAAAGCCCTCCCAAGGGTGGATTTTCCCAAATAGCTAACTTGGCAGCAGTGGGCATTTTCCTGGCACGATCTTTCCTGTCCTATGTGCCATGCTTCTGACGCCCTGCGGTTAATATTCGGTCCCGGTTTTGTTCAAAGAGTTCTAACATTTTCTGCACGTCGTGGTCAGCCTCAATCACCTGGAAATTAAGCACACGGGTCACAGGGCTGCCCCTGACCTCGCCGTCACCCTCCCTTCACAGAGGGAGAGCGGGGAGAGGAGGCAGGCAGGACGGAGAGAAGCTCCAGGTCACAGGCAGAGACACAGGCAAGGCAGAGCCAAACAGCCCCCAGCTGTGAGCCAGTCTCCACGCCCAGCTGCATCTCACGTAAGACGCTGTTGTCCCTGCGGTGAGCTCACGGTGACCTTTTTCTCATCATTTGATACCACGGAATTTTCTACAGCGAGGGAAGAAATCGACTTGACTTCTTTTAAAACCCACTGCAGACGTATCTCACTTTCCAGCAACCTCCCTGGCTAAAGAGCCGTGAATAAAAGTTTCAGCAGTGCAAACAGACGTCCCCAAGGCCATCGACCAAAGAGGCACCCTCAGGGACATGTGTGTCTGCATAGAGATCTGGCGGCAGCAGAGCAGAAAACAAAGGGATGGGGGAGCCAAGAAATGCTGACGGGGCAGACACACGAAAACAAAAGCAACTAGCGTCAGCAGGAAAAGGAGGTTATTGTGACAGGCAAACACGGGAACTCAACTACATTAGTGGTCTGGGGCAAACAGTCCTACACACCTCAGCACCTTCTAAGGGCTGCACTGTGTGAGCAGCAACAGACGTTCCTTCGATGCCCTGGGTCACCAAGAAAAGGTGCAATGAGGCTCCGGGCCTGCCTCCCACTCAAGAAGGGATGGCCTCGTGAGAAGACCACATCCCAAACAAAGCCAAAGCCGGTGTCTAGAGGCCTTAGCTGCCAGGGATGCGTGTTGTTGACCATGCTGGAGAAGTGTGAGATGCTGCTGTGGTCACTGGCGTAGGACACAGGGACAGGTCACCTCTCGGGTGTGTCCAACTCACTCTGAGGTTCAGTCCAGAGATGGGGACAGTGAAACCAAGAGCTCCCCCTGACCTCCCCTGCTCCTCTTTCCAAATTCTCAAGCTCCGAGGCACTGGCCCGTCCCCGGGCAGCAGAGTGACCGACACCGCCAGGCCACTCGTCCTTCTACCAGAGTCTCCTGCCCTGTCCAGGGGACTTACCAGAACAGGGGCCACCGGGCGGAAGAGGCCTCCTTTAACAAGCCAGTCCTCATAGAGGTGGTGAATAGCCTCCAGGTATTCCTTCGGGGAAACACACACAGTAGTGGGCTGTGAGGAGGTCAGAGGGGAGCAGACCTCGCCAACCAAGGGCCTTGGGCAGGCGGGGCGAGTGCCGGTGACCACGGGCAGTGCCTTGGACAAAAGCCACGGCCAACGTGGCTCAGGTGGCCAGCAATAAGCTTGGCCAGTGCAGGAACTGCAGCAGCCAGAAGTCAGTCCTCATCCTCCCTGTCCCCTCGCCGCCCCACCACCCTCAGTACACTTTGCTCCACGGGGGCTTCATACACTCAGCCTCCTGGCACCGTCATTTACTGCCACTGCTCCAGCAGCAGGGCCGCCAGTCCTTCATGAGGGGACGGCGGGGGCAGGGGGGTGTCTGTGGGCAGACACCCCAGCCCCGGGCAGCCTCTGAAACATCCCCTCCGCCCCTCCCTCCCGCCAGGAGGACTTCAATCCTCGCTGGTCCAGGGGCCCCATTCCTGCTGCTCCCACACCACCCGCTGACCTATGACCTATGCATCCTCTAGACATAGAGACAACTTCTGAGAGCCTGACGCGGTAGAACCCAGGGAATAGGCGTGGACGAGCCCCTCAGCCATCTGTGCCTCCACACCATGCGAGACGGGGCGGCACACGCTCTCCTGTGCCAGCCCAAGCCACAGTTTTTATTGCCTGACCCAGACGGTCTCAGGCAAATCTCACTTCCTTTCCATCCACACTGAGTTCAGCCTTGAAGACGAGAGGTGAGTCCTGCAGGCTGTGTGAACCATGAAGCCAAAGGATGGGTAATGGCTTGGAGGGACTCTGACTGGGCATTTCTCTGGGACATCTGTGTCACTGCACAGAAATGCCCTGGCCCAGCTCAGCCTGGACCGGCCCGAGCCACTGCCCTCTACTCCTGGACTGCCCACCCCTCTCTCCTGCCCACCCCTCTCTCCTGGACTCCGAAGGCGCTGCCCAGAGCGGAGTCCGGGCCTTCGTGGCTGGAATCTACCTCGCTGGCAGTAGAGGGAAATAAGGCTGGGGAGGCCTCAGGAGCGGACGAGAACTTCCAGGACCCCCAGTCCAGCCCAACTTGAGCTCAACCACATGGCATCCCAGGAAAAGCTTGCCCAGCCTCTGTCTGTGTGCTTCCAGTGGCAGCTTCTCATAAGGGACATTCAGCTTAACATTAACTGAGCAGCTCCTAGATGCCAGGATCTGGGACATGTGCTGGAGGCAGGGCCAATGGGAGCCAACCTTTAAAAGCTCAGTTTAATAAAGGATGAGGCACAAACCTATAAGCAGCATCGGGACGCTAGTCCTAAGAGATATAATCATAATAAGCCCTGGGGCTAAGGGACGCCAAGAAGAGAAGGTCAGGGAAGGCTTCCTGGAGGAAGTGACATCTGAGCTGAAGGTGGAAAGCAAAAGAAACCACCATGCAAAAGCACATTTGTGTAACTCCATGGTGTGTGTGTGTGTGTGTGTGTGTGTGCCTACAACTAGTTCTTTGTGGCTAGAGCATAAAAGGCAGGCAGTAAAGGCCCATAAAGCCAACCACACAGGGTCTCATAGGACAGTCTACAAAGCAGGGGCTTTGTCCTAGATAGCAGTAAGGCACTGGGATTTGGGCTGGGACACTGCACGAGTGGTGTTCTGCAAAGGAAGCATCAGCCAGGCAGCCTCTGAGGCTGGGTTTCTGAAGGGGCTGTGGGTCGTGAAGGCGAGGGCAAGGAGAGCCATCCAAGCCTGTTGCCACAGTGCTGGCTTGAGTTCACATGGCCCGGAGCCAAGCCCAGAAGGGTGAGGCTTTGGGCAAATACCAGCGAGTACCAGCCATCGCCAGCCAGGCCGCACTGAGCACTGGGGACGCAGCCCAAGCCAGAGGGCACTGGCCAGCAAGCATGCAGAGGACACAGGGGCCGGCAGTCCTCAGTCTGGGCGGGGAGCTGGAGGTCACCAGCGTGCACCCAGCCGCAGAGGAAGTCAGAGTTTGCTCTCGGAAGCGCTCGGTGCCGTGTCCCGCCCCGGGGCAGGTGATGGTGTCACCCTTTCACCGGGTGAAGGAGGCGCTTACCAGTGGGATCACCTTCTCTTCCTCCCTGCATCTCGTCCGCAACCTCTGGTGGCAGGTCTCGGGAGTGGTCCGGAGATACACTAAGGTTAAAAATACATATTCGTGGCTCAATTTTTTCTGTCCGTGGCTCGGAAGAGAAAGCAAGACCTGGGGCGGGGGCCGGGGTGGGGGACGGAAGAAGTTGCTGGCGGGAGGGAGACCCCCGCCAGCAGCTCAGAGCCGGAGACTCGGACCAGGGCTGGAGACCGTGAGGGCACCTGGACCTCCGCCGCCTGCGCCCCGCCCCTGCCCACGCCGCCAGCCCCGCGGGGTCGTCGTGAGTCCGAACGGGCCTACTCAGAGACGAGCTAACCCAGGGTCTGGACACTGCACCGGCCCGTGCCCCTGCCCCCTTACGAACTAGAAAAGCCCGTCCAGCCACAGTGGGCCCAGGGGAAAGCAGCTGGACAAGCCAAAGCCAGGCTCGTCTCGAGAAGGGACCAGAGCCCCCGACTCTCTCTGCCCCTGGGAAGAGGGCTGAGCTCAGATGGGGACACAACCCCCATGGCGAGAAGCCCACTCCTGCCCCCGGCAGTCCCACCTATCAAGTCAACAGACACGTCGATGTTCCTCGTGATCCAGTCGAACCACTCGGACAGGACCACGTAGTCCACTTCGGGCATCTTCCCGCTGCAATGAGAGTTGCAAGGTTCTGTTCACCCCCGAGAAAGCTCCGGGCTGCACTGCAAGAGTAAGGCTTTCACTGAAAGGGCACCGCCCAGGGCACAGCATAGCCACTGCCCCGGGGACAAGGGGCAATGAGTAGGCCCCTGAACACCTCTGACCTCCCGCCGCCTGGGGACAGTTGCTGGCATGATGCCGCAAGTGCCAATGGGGGAATCCACGTGGGGCTGGAACTCCAAGTAGAGAAAGGGCTTTGCAGCCTGTCCCCCAAAACAGACACAGCGCTCAGGTCAGGGGTGGAGCAGCAAAGTAATATGCTTGGAATGTATTCAGGGGACATAATCACAGATGCCCACCCTAGTGCTGTTTAGATTCAAGAAAAACGAAACCCTGTCCATCCACGTAACAGAAAACCATGCTGAGTCCGAAAGATGCTGCTACAGAGCAGCACCTACTGTCGCGGGACGTGCTCGTGGCCGAGGGGCCAGTGACACAAGCAGGATGTGAGACTGTGTGTATATATAAGGCCTAACCCAGTTTCGAGAGCGTCTGTCCATACACTTTGAAAAAAAGAATGGAAAGCAAAATACCAAAATGTTAACAGTGCTTTGCTCTGGGCTGTAGCAATATGGGGGATGGCGTTTTTTTCCTTTATAGTTTTCTACAGTTTCCAAAACTTAAAACATATATGAGTTTTCAAATCAAGAGTGAGGTGACTGGGGCCTCCCTGGTGGTGCAATGGGTTAAGACGCAGCACTGTGAAGCTGTCCGCAGCCACTGCAGCATGAGTTCGATCCCCAGCCAGGGAGCTACCCACATGGCGCAGCAGACCCCTCCTGTCTCACCCGCTGCTCCCCTCAGCAGTGGATTTCAGTGGATCTGCCTGTTCTGCTCCCCACTCTGTCTCTGGTGAATCCTCTCACCCCCCACACCTCTGGCCTGTACCCCAGTTCTTGTATGCATAAATAAATAAATCTTTAAAAAAATACCCATTTAATAAATGGGCAGTACCTTCTATACAGGTTTTCTACAAAAACGTATCTTGCACTGTGAATCGACCTCTCCATCAACCGCACAGGTAATGTCTAAAGGAAAAGAAAAAGTGATTCACTAACTCGGAAACCTTGAACACGGTCTTACTCCCCTGCGGTGGTGTCGCTGAGCACAGAGAAGCAGCGGGGAGACTGAGGCAGCCCCCAGAGAACCATGTGCCTGGCGTTGCCTCTGCTGTGCCCCTTCCTTGTTCCCTCCCCACCTGCCCCGCCCCAAGCTCGGGGGCTAGTGCAGCAGCCTCTTTCATAGAGGTTCTTGGCTGCAACGTGGGTTTGGGAAAGTGCTAGAAAAACTGCCAAGTGCTGTCCAGCAAAGCATGCCCAAGCGCCAATGTGGGGGTCACCATGCAGCTAAACAGGAAGCACCTGCTCACGCATGTCTGAGCTCCCAGAGGGCTGCGCTGTGCCTGATAATCTGGGGATTCTGCCATCAGTGCCCGAGAGTCTGGTCTTCTGAAACCCACGGGATGCCAGGCCTGCAAACCTTGCTGCCTCCTCACAGGGCTGGTTGGAGGCTACGGCAGCCCTTTGGAAATTTCAAAGGACAGAGCCCAGGGAGGGCAGCGACACTGACCTCGGCCCTGTCTGCTGGGGAGCTCGTGCCTTTCCCTTTGTGCGGTGTCCCGCTGGGAAGCCGGGGCCTTTCCCTTGACGCCAAGTGGACAAATGCTGCGGCCACTCAGTCCAGCCCAGCACCCAGAGGACCTGGACCAGCGAATCAGCTGATTCAAAGCCATAACCCAGGCCTTCCCTGACCCTCCCGTCAGCCTTGGTTCCTCTCATCTCCCTTCCCCTTTCCCGGCCTCTCCTTACTCACCGCTCCTCTGTCCACCCGCCACTGCTCCCCTCGCGCCCTGCATGTCTCCTCAGCTCTACGGCTTTCTGTCCTCTGTCCTAGTCTGTCCATCTCTGTAGTAGCTTTTCTTAACTAGACCATCCAAGAACCTCCAGGAGACACACGCACAGACTCACGGCACCAGGCACAAGCCGGGTTTGCAAGGGAGCACCCGCACCAGAAAGTAGGGTGGCGGGGAGAGGACCAAGCAGGCCCTCTGTCTGTGTCATTTACACAGGTATGTGGAGAGACAGAAGTTCCTAGGGTTCTGCTCATATCTTTCCATGTTTAAAGACACAGCTTGCAGGAAAATGATAGCTGCAGCTGCAAGTGCCCAGCCCAGGACCAAACTGCTGCGTCAAGTGGCGGTGTCAGTGGCCTGGCCGTAGGGGCCTCCTATGCCCTCCCGGAGAGCCTGCAGCGCCCACCAGGGTCGTGCGTGCAACTGTGAGCCACCAGTGCCCAGCGGGAGTCCCCTGCCGGCCTTTCCTCTAACAGGCTCCTCCCTACTCGCACACCCACGGAGGGAGAGGGACTGGGCAGCCGTGCCCGGCACCAGCACCTGACTGGCCCAAGGCTGGACACGTGACCCTAGCCAAGCCCATCAGATTCTTTCTCTCACAGACAAGCGCTAAACACTAGGACCTTGGTCAGCGGGCCTCAAACTTGTGCACAAAGTTGCATGACAGTCACCTGAAGAAGGGAACGAACTACAAATGGCTGGGCCTCCTCTCCAGATTTACCAACTCAGCTGGTGGAGGAGGCCAGGAAATGGTTTCTAACAAGCTGCCAGGTGCTGCTGTTGCTCCTGGTCCAGGGGCCTGACTTTGAGCAGAAGTAAGTTAAGTGGTGTTGAGCCTGGCCCAGCCAGGCCAGCCAGGCCCCAAGTGTCACGACAGCCACTTCCTGGCTAACAAGAATGGCGGGTGGGCGCGCTGGCGGGGGGCCTCACAGAGGCGCAGGAGTAGAGGGGGCTAAGCAGTGCTGAGGCCCAGAGGGGCCGCCTTGGGAGCTTTCCCTTCCTGGCGATCAGAGCCCCCTAATGTGAGGACACGCTGAAGGCTGAGACAGAACATCGCACCATACCTGAGGGCGGGTGTGCTGCTGCAGCATGGTGAGCTGCACGTACGTCTGCAGCGTGAGCGCCCATCGACTGGCATCCCTGTACATCAGGCCCTGCAAGAGGACAAGGCAGCACGTCACTTCCAAGCGCCCTACCCGCCCCTGGGCTCTTCGGCCACCCAAGGTCATCTCCTAAAACTTACATGGGGCTGAGCTGGGGCCAGAGAGGAAGCTGACACGGTCACAGGGCCCTCAGAACAGGGCAGACAAACATTAGAGCAAGGATAGGACAGCCCCTTAGCAGCCCCAACAGGACTAGAGTCCCCAGGGAACCTTCACTCAGCGGTTCCATAAAGGTTCATTGTTCTCCGTCCAGCAGCCAAGGTGAGCTGTTCAACCTAAACCTGTTCAGGACCCTGCATGCAACCCACAGCACTCGGCGTGAAATCCAGAGCTCTTCACAACACCCACAGGGCCCCAGAGAATCACTTCCATCTTCTCTACAGTTGTCTGCTATTGTCTCATGGCTCAGAGAGCTTCCAACCACATCAGGCTCCTTGTGTTCCCCAGACACACGAGCACAAACCCACCTCAGGGCCTTTGCATGTGCTGTGCCTTCTCTCTGAACGCCCTTCCTTCTGATATCCACACTGCTCGCTCCCTCGCTCAAAGAGCTCACAGGCGCCGTCACAGGCTATCTGAAACAGGAGCCCAGCCCCTCCCCATGCCTGGGAGGTGAAACACTTCATGCTCCATATTCTATTTGTGAATCGTTTTTTCCAGATTTTTGCTCCCTCCCCCCACCGCCCTTGGTGCTGACTAATGAACGCCCAGTGCTCTGCACTGGAAACTGCAGACTCTGAAGGGTGGGCAGGCCAGGAGGAACCTCTCGCCTGGGAGCTGAGAAAACAAACACCTTTTGCAACAGAAACCTGACTCAGAAGAAGAGACGAATTCGGACTTTTCACCAAAATATCACCTCTGCTTTTCGTTGCAGAGTGGAAACCTGTGTAAACATCTTGAAGTCTACAATCCCGTACTCCTGAAACTTACGTTATAAAATATTACTGCAATAAAAATGTATTTTTAGAAATAACAAGAAGAGGATAAAAAGTAAGTAGCTCTAATTCTGCTTTAATTTTACTATAAAACTGTTCCTGGAAATGCACTTGGTGCTGAGGGTGCCCAGACTTCTGGTGTGTCCTGGGACACACCACCTCTGCCGCCAACTCCGGCTGCCATCCTTAACAAGCCTCCTGGGCCCCAGAGAGAAAGAATGTTTCTGAGCTGCTCTGTCATGTCCAAAGAGAATGACTGGTATTGACGCCGTCTCCTCCCACGTGTGAAGGCAAACACCCCTTCACGTCTCCGGGACTCTGTAGTCAAGGACTCCGAGAGCTCCGGCCTTAGTCCAGGAATTTCCTTTCGCCTGCTCTGACCCTCCTCACCCCCAGTGTTTCAGACATTTGTCTTCTGCCTCCCCACTTTGGGATGTTGCCCAGGAGAGCGGGGACTTTGAGGTGCTCACTGGGCCAGCGCCCAGGATGGCGTGGGGTGGGTCTGCAAAAAACTTGGGGGAGGAAGGAGGAACAAGCGCCTCCTGAGGGCTCGGCAGTGCGCTGCAAACGTGGCGCAGCCCCCGTCCCGGTGGAACTCAGAGTCCAAAGAACTACACGGGAGATGCCAACTGTGCCGCGGGAAATGAGGGGCCACACAGCCTCCCAAGTCAGTTGCCAGCTATGTGGTCTTGCTTCAGCTGTGATTTCATCACCCGAACAATGAAACTTGCCATCCCTGCATCACAGGGCAGGAGCCCAGACGAGGGGTCATTTTAAGGCTCCACCCGTCTCTTTCAAGCAGCGGAACAAGACTTCTGAAGAGGGAAGGAAGGGGACCTGCTTGCCAGGTCCTGTGACCTGCCTGTGACCTGCTTGCCAGGTCAACCACCACGAGAGGTGGCTTCAGGGTGAGCCAGAAGCTGCCCCTGGACATTGCCAAGTGCAAACGCAAACCAGAGGTTTGTCAAGGAACCTGGTCACTCAGATAGGTCCTGGGGGCTGGGCCTGAGGAGACCTACATGACAATGGCTAGGAAAGGCTCAAGGTAGAGTGAGCAGCAAGACACACACAGGGTGGACAAGACTACTTGGGATAGTCTGGGGCAGCTGACAGGAAACCCCTGAGCTCTGCATACAGAGCCAGGCCTCGCAGATCCTTGACCTCAGGATACCAATGAGCTGCCTTTTCCACCGCCCCTCTCTTTCCTCCTCTAGTGGGGCTAAGGGCAAGGAAGGCTAAGGACAATGTGGTGGGGCAGGGGGGCAGGCTCAGGCCTCAGCAAGCACCACCATTCCCAGGCATGTAAGTGGAAGCTTCTGGTTCTCAGAGCCAACGCCCCACTCACCAGAGGATTGTGGCCACGGACATTTCTCCACTTGGACACAGGTTCCGTTAACACCTGGAAAGAGAATACCAGAGAGCTGTGTTCCTAGGTTCTGAGTTCTGTGCAGTGGGGGCATCCACATTTAGGTACCTGGGGTGGGCCACACAGGTGAGCCACCCTCTCTCCAGGCCACAACTCCATCCAGACATGGTTCCAGAAACGGCCCCAGGACAGCTCCACCCATCCCCACTGAAGCACAAGCACACCCCACCTCTCCCGCTGCCCTGGGAGCCCCCAGGGAGCAAGGCGGGTTTCTCTCCTTCCTCTGCGTGCTCCATCCTGGTCCTGACAGCCCACACAGTGAACAGGGCAGGGGTTGGGAGAAGCTAAGAGGGCAGCCTGACAGCCAGCTCCCCCTCGGGTCTCCATGACCCCGGCAGCTTGCTCTGCCTCCGTCTCCTCGCCGAGATCTCGGGTCCAGTGCACCAAGAGCTAAGAGTCCAGGGCTTCCCCGGTGGCGCAGAGGTTGAGCGCTGGGTTGCGAAGCTGCCCGCAGCCTCGGCGGCGCCGGTTCGATCCCCGGCTGCTCCCCGGCCACCGGAGGAGGGTCCCACATGGCGCGCAGACCTCTCCTGCCGCCCGCTGCTCCCCTCAGCAGTGTACTTCGGTCCTTCTGCCTGCTCTGCTCCCCGCTCTGGCTCTGGTGGATTCTCTCACCCTCCCGCGCTTCTGACTATACCCAGTGCATGTATAAACAAACAAATAAATAAATAAAAAAACATGCCTCTGTTTAAAAAAAAAAAAAAAAAAGAGCTAAGAGTCCCACTTCCTCTGCACACTCCCTGCCCACGGCCGGAGAGGATCTCTCCTGCTGGCCCTCAGTTTGCACCCTCTACACGGCTGCCAGCTTCTCTGACATTCTGCACGTCCCAAGACAGATCAGTTCTAGATTCTCCATGGGTGGTACAGACACTCAGATCTGGACAATCCCACCCTCTGAAAGAACCCTTCTGAGTGGGCAAGCGGATACTAGAAAAGATTTAAACGGTGCTCTTGGGGTCACGCTTTTGCGAGTAGCCGTGACCATCTGGGGATCTCCCGGTACATGTGCACAGGCGCCACAGGTCACGAGGCCAAAGGAAAGCAATGCTCAGGACCCTGGAAGACAGACTTCCTCCCACCCTTTACACCCTGTGCATTCGCTCTCGTTTTCTTGCTTCTGGTATGCCCACCTCACTTCATTTTTCATTAATGTTCATTACAGAGAAAACACCTACGCGTCCTTCAAATTCCAGTTCAAATATCTACTTCCATGAATCATTACCTGCTCCCCCCAGGCCCCTTCTGGGTCTTCAGCACTCGGTTCCAATTCCCTGAGTAGATAAGCTGCGTCGCCGAAGCCCACCAGAGGCTGGGCACAGACAGCCTCTCCTGTGCTCCATCTGTGACATGTCCCTCAACAATGAGCACCCACTGGGCCAGGCGCCATTCCGGGCACCAAGGATACAGCACGAGCCACCCCAACTCCTACCTTCATGGCACTTCAGATGTACCAGGGGAAGAGCCACTAACCAGATCACCACAGAAACCAACATATATTCTCAAATCCTGAGTAGTACAAAACAGGGGTCCACAGGGGCCAGGAGAACTGCCCCGGAAGGGTAGAGAGCTAGGGGAGGTCAGAGAGCTGAGCTCTGAGCGGCCTTCCTAAAGCCAGGGAGCTCTTCACCCCAGCCTCGCTCAGTAGTCTGGGTCCCTCACACAGAAGCCCTTCCTAGCCAGGGCTCGAGGACCTCTCTACCTGCTCTGCCCAGGACGGCAGCCATGGGCCGCATGTGGGCATTATGAACTTGAAATGTGACTAGTCCAAACTGAGATCTGCTGTCAGTATAAAATACACTCCAGATTTCAGAGATTTTCCTGTGAGACACGGAATGCGGCAGAGGTCACCGATGATTTTTGCACTGATTACATGCTGACGTGCTAATGTACTATGGGATACATTGTGCCCACATATCACATGCATATGTTATGGAATCAGATTGTAATTACTTGGAATATATTATGTGAACTAAAAAGTTCTTTTTGGTGTTTTTAGGGAGGCTAGTAAAAATTTTACCTTACCTATGGGACTTGCACTTGTGGTTCACATTACATTTCTATCGGACAGGGCTGGTCTAGACCCTCCATAAACTCCGTCATTCTGCAGGTGCCTTTGAACCTGGCGTGGAGGCCTTACCTCGATGTCTGCTGAGTTGGAGAAGAACTCCAAGCATGTCGTCTTCCCACTGGCAATATTGCCCTCAACACAGATCTGGCAGAAGACAAATGCACGTTAGAACCAGACACCAAGAACCAGACACCCAGTGCCTGGGGGACAATCAGGGAGCCCCTGCAGGAATTGCTCACACAGGCAGCCTGGCTGGTTCAGTCCAGGATCTCAATGTGTGGACCAAAGTTCCCCTCTCGAAGTCCCCAAGGTCGAGTTGCTGTAATAATAAGCAAACAGAGCCTCCCCCTCACGGCCAGGGCACCAACTTCCAGGACAGACCTTCCCTTCCACGGAGCTCTAGACCACACACAGCTCGCCCTCATCCACCTTAGCTCTGCCCGGTATGAGAAACGGCCAGAACCCCTGAATCAGGCTTTAGGTGGGGTCCTCAGAACTGCTGCCTGGTGATTCTGACATGGCTCTGCCCAGCCAGGCACTGCTGGTGACGCCGGCCAAGTGACTCTGGCTCACAAGAGGAAGGAGGAGCTCTGCACATGTAAGAAGACAAACCAGCCCTGGACAACACAAACTAGATGGCCCCTGGGGCACTCAGAGAGGGGCCTGTCCTGCTGCTCAGTGACCTTCATGTCCAGGCTAGAGGCCCCCCGAGAAAAGAGAGCACCTCAGTGACTGGTCAGGTACCAGCCTAGCAGGGGAAAGAGCTGGAATTCACACCTCAGTCTGGCAGATCCCCTCTGATGGCCCCACTGGAGCCTCAGCCACACCCTACACAGAATGGGGGGTTACAGTGAGCGACGCACCGAGTCCCACCCACTACAGACTCTCTCCAGCAAATAGGCTGTTGGTGGGCTGCGAAGGTTTCCTCCTGCCTGATGCTAAAGGGTATCCAGGAGATCTGGACAATCTCACTTCCACCATTTGCCAGGGCACCCTCCAACCCCAACTGGTTTCCTGTCTGCTCACTCCTTTAGATCTCAAAACCCCACAAATGAACCCAAGGGAGTACGCAAACGGGACATCCCAGAAGGGCACAAACAGATTTGATTTTTCATGTTGTTTTTGTAAGGAAACAACTTTGCCTCTAGAAGATATTTAAAAGGAGCTCAGCCTCCACATTATTCTACACAGAATTTCTTTCTTTCCTGTTCAGATTGAGACCTTCTTCCAAAACAGGTGTCCCTATTCCCACCACTGGATCCTGAAGAGTTGGTAAATCTAAGACTTTGGATGAGCTCGCGAACCCACTCTTGCCTGGCAAGGTAGAAAGAATCTCACAAAATTTCCCCATCACAGAGGGAAGAGAGAGGAGTAAGCAAAGGAAGTCTTTGTTTTTAAGGTGAAGCCCACAAATATTTAAGAAGGGCGTGTGCCCGTGGAAGAAAACAGAAAATCATAAACTAGAAAAGAATGCCCATCACCCCACTACGGATAGACGTCACTACATCTCAGCACGCTGCAGGGATATTTCTCTATCCGCGTCTCACCTTAGAGAGTCTTCTGACCACTCACTGAAGGCCTACTATGTGCAGGGCACTGCGTACTGGGGTGCCAGTCCCAGCAGCATGGATGGACCTCACAAAGAGGGAGTGGACGGGGAGGAAAGTAACAGGAAATCAGGAGGAAGGACGGTCAGCGGGCCGCGGCCGCACATGGCCACCAGGCCCCACAACATGGCCACCAGGCCCCACAACATGGCCACCAGGCCCCACTCTGGATGCGCCCAAGCTTCCCTGCCCTCCTCTGCTCTTAGGCCGAGATTCCAATTTCCCATGACTATGAAGCCACTGCCATGCACCGCTCAGCCTTATTTTCAAATAACATTTCATCCTTATTGAAAATAGAACTTCAGCATTTTCACAGCAGGAAATACAAAGTACTAAAAGAGGAAATTAAAAATCCCTCAGAATCCCAGCGATAACTACCATTTGGATGTTTAATCAAAACCAAGTTTCCCAGAGGCAAACAGGCTTGGGTTCTAAAGGCCCGACTGGAAGAATCAAAATATACGCTGTTCTGTTAAAGCCCTGAGAACCCAGCATCCACAGGAGACCTGCCCCAATGTCCACCGCTGGGGAGTAAACCTGTACAGTTACTGAATTCACTGACTTGTACACTCAAAAGGGAGCGCATTTTTAGGTGTGCAAAGCTATTTTTTTTTTTTTTTTTTTTACAAAAAAGGAACCCAGTTTCATTTCATTTAACATGCAAAGAACTAAGGGAAGACTTCCCATACTCACCCCACAAATTCTCTCTCTCATACACACAGTTATTGCTCCCCAACTTTCCCTGTTCAATAAGACAGGGAATTTCCGCATCAGTAACAGTTTGTAATACATACTTCTCCCCCAGCCCCATGAACAGTTTATATAATTTATCATTTATCTTCTTTGCTTTTTACTTTTGGCTCTTCTATAGTAAGTACCTTCACGGATCATTAAATATTTTTCAAAAATGGGATCGTGAATGGCTGAATAATATTCCATCCTGGAAGGCATACCGTAACTCATTGAAAACGCTACTCTTGGATGTTATGTTCCCTTCGGCTGTTGTTTGTTTTTTTTTAATAAAATTGTGCTGTGATGCCCATTTTTGGGATATTATAAATAGTGCTGTTGGGCATCCCTATACATAAATGCTTGTCACTGGCTCTAATTAGTCCCTGCAATCGATTTCTAAGACTATAATCACTGCATCAAAGGAGCGATGAGTTTCTGAGGCCACTGAGGCACACTGCCTAATGCTGTTCCCCTGCCAGCAATGCTGTTCCAGCTCCACCCCCTTCAGCAGGTGACAGCGAGCCCTTCACCACACCCTGCTAGTACTGGGCATATAGTCCCTTCTAAGTCTTCTGTTTTATTGCCTGTCATTTACTAAGCATCGAGCGTTAGCTCCTGCGGACTGATCCTCACAACAATCATAGGAGCTGACATCATTCACCCCTCTCTACAGATGGGGAAAATGAGGTTCTAACGGTTAAGGCCTTGCCTACTTATAGTCAACAGCAGAGAGCTGGGCTTGGTGCCCAGGTTCAGTTTCTACCACTCCCCACTTCAAAACATTCTTTCATTGTGACAAAGCTGAATACTTTATGTTTGTTACCCATTAATAAGTTCCCTCAAGAAATGCCCGTCCTATAGAAGGTTGGATACTAGAGAAGTGGGTGGGCAGAGCAAGCTGGTAGAGGGGGGCAAACGGGTCAGTGATAGGGGTAGGGTGACACAGACAGGTGCTAAAGTTAGAAACATACACCTGAGGGGGCCTCCCCGGTGGCACAAGGGATTAAGTCTCAGCACTATAAGGCGACTGGCGGCCACTGCAGCACAAGTTCAATCCTCAGCCAAGAAACTAACCCACATGGCGCAGCAGACCTCTCCTGTCTTGCCCGCTGCTCCCCTCAGCAGTGTATTTCAGTAGATCTGCCTGTTCTGCTCCCCACTCTGTCTCTGGTGAATCCTCTCACCACCATCCCCCACACCTCTAACCTACACCCCAGCTCTTGTATGCATAAATAAAATAAATTTTTTTTTTAAAAAAAGAAACTGTATGCTTGCAACCCAGACAGTATTATAAACTAAACTTCCTTCAAAATGAAAGTAATGAAGTATTCAGACATATCCTTTGAAAATATTTAGATATATGCTCACATATAATTTCTCCTCATCAGGGTAGAAGCATTAATATCCAGTGTCTAGATTTTGACTTGGATATTTTTTTTTTTTGGCTTGGATATTTTTAAAATGATCTTCATGTAAGTAATATTTACAAGCATGCTGTTGTGTAGAAGATGATCTAGCAGAATAGATAACAAAAAGCTAACAGTGGCTATCCAGGAAGTGGAACTGGGGAGTGCTTTCAAAAATGTTTTTACAGGGCCTCCCTGGTGGTGCAGGCGGTTGAGTGCAGCTCTGTGAAGCTGTCCGCAGCCTCTGCAATGCCGGTTCACAGAGCAACCCACATGGCACAGCAGACCTCTCCTGTCTCGCCCACTGCTCCCCTCAGCAGTGTATTTCAGCCAGTGTATTTCAGCCAGTTCTGCTCCCCACTCTGGCTCTGGTGAATCCTCTCACCCTCCCGCACACCTGGCCTGTACCCCGGTTCTTGTATAAATAAATTTTTTAAAAAAGTGAAAATGTTTTTGCAGCCTGTGCATGTTATGTTTACAGTCAGAATATGTGTTGTGTGTATGTGCATATGAAGATACAAGATAAAATGTAAAAGGGAAAAAAGAAAAATGTCCTTTGTTTATCTGAAAATATTTAGTCACCAGCCCTTCTTTTCAGTCCATCTTTGGCACTTGTTAGTTCTGTAGTGGTGACCCACTTCCCAGCTGCAGTCAACCCAGATATTCCCCAACAGTCCTGACCCATGGGGCCTTCAGTACACTACCTCCTAACACCCACGAAAGGCTTCGATTCCTATGGATGACCTCCTGTGTATCTGGGGCGTATCAAACCACACCCAGAAAGCATCTAAGACAGGCCTAACTTATCAATACTAGCTCAATTAATAAATAGTATGACAATGCACAAGTTCCCATCCAGATCAACTTAGCATCCCCTTCCCTTTCAGTGGTGCTACTGTCATACCTGACACACCTCCACAGACCAAGTTTCAACAAACTCCCATGAACCGCAAGCATTTCAGTGATTAGTCTGACTTAGTGACTTCACTCCCTCCTGTCACCAGAATACCCATATGGCCTGCCCCAACCTTCTGCCATCTGCAGATCCCAGCCAAGGTACTACTCCTGCCACCACCTGCCAAGCTACTCCCTTTCCAGCTGCAAATGCTTCCTGAAGGAACTGGACCTGTGAATAGAGGGGGGCTGAAATATTGCCCCCCCCCCAATCACATGTCCAATTTGATCCTCCTTGGGCCTTCAACCCCGCACCAGGCACAGCCCCACCCAGAGGTGGCATCTCGCAAAACCCATGTCTGAAGACCCTATGGGTTCTCTCTGATCCCCCATCCACCCACCAGACTCAGCACTGGGACTCAGGGGCCCATGATCAGACCTTCCCACACATCCAGGCTGCCACCCCCTATCCCAAGGTGAAGCCAACCTTCTCTACAAAGAACAAGTATTTTTCAAATCTTTTTATAATCAAGCTAAGAGCACAAATCTATCTGAAGGCTACGAATAAGTGTCGGCTCCCACCTGTGTAGACACACAAGGCACTGGTGAGAGGTGCCCCCAGAGAAGGGTAGGGGGCAGACCTCCACCCTGAAGAGGTTCCAGCATGTGTTTTCCTACCACCGGCACATCACTCTCCCCCTGGAGAATTAAAATGTCATCCCAGACAAGACTGTGCACAAAAGGGGGACTTACCACTGATTTTTTCTCTTTTCCATTTTCTCTATCTTCATCTAGAAAAGAAAGAAAATCATGTTAGACTCAGTTTTAAATTAAATGACTCTCTTCTTTGCCCTCACTTGAGCAGCACCACACACACACTCATTTCTCTGCTCCTCCCAGCGACACCTGGGACACCTGGGCCCGCGTCTACCTGCGTGCGACCAGGTGCGAGTGCTGCCACTTGGGATCAGGCTTCTGCACCTTCTAGAACACACGCCCCGTGTCATCCGCACGACCCTCTAGAAGGTGTCCGGCGAGTTAAAAGGCGGGGTGGCCGCCACTCAGGGCGCCAGGGCCCAGGTTACCACCGCTCCCCACCCTCACGGGGGGGCCCCTCAGCGGGCCGCCACCCGAGCCCCAAGGGCCGCAGCAGCGCGCGGGGGGGGGGGGGGGGGGCCTAGTTAACTGCAGCTCGCGGCCCGGCCTTCCCCAGCACCCACAGACTCCGAACAGGAGTGGGGGGGGGGCTGGAGCAGCCCCCCCACAGGGAAGGGGGTTCTTTCTGCTCTCTGGAGGCCCGCTCCCGGCTCCGAGCAAAGGATGAGCCGGAACCCCGAGCCCCACCCTCTCGCGGCCGACTCGCGCCCGGGGTGCCGGCCAAGGCCGCCCCCTCGGGAGTCCCGGGGAGGAGTGGGGGTGCGCGGGCGGCAGGCCGAGGGCGGGGCGCGCGGCGCGCGGCGGCCGCCGAGACGCTTTACCCCGAGGCCAGGCCCGGCGCTGCGCCCCCCGCGGCCCTTGGTCCGCCGCGGGGCTCCCCGAGCGCCCCCGGCGCAGCGCGCGGGCGGCCGCGCTCCAGAGCGGCCGCAGCAGCATGGCCGGCCCCGGCCCCGGCCCCGGCCCCTTCCTGCCCGGCGCGCGCGCGCGGCCCCGCGGCCTGAGGCCCGCGCCGGAGCGAGGCTCTTAAAGGGCCCGGCCGCCTTTCCGCGCCGCGCGGGCTGCACCCCAGGGGCGCGCGGCCAGCGGGTCTCCCCGCAGCGGGACGCGGGCAGGACGAGCCCAGGACGTGATGCTGGCCAGGGAGAGGCCAGCCGGGCGCCGCAGGACTCACTGGTCTGATTGCCCGAGATCACCGAGGACCGTCCAGGCCCCGCGCGCCCTGGCGGGAGGTTCATCCTTCCCCGCACCTGCCCTACGAGCCGCCGGCCCTTCTCCAGCCGCGCCTCGAACCATTTGTTTAAAAGGACCAGAAGTGGGTCTCCCCGGTGGCGGTGGCGCAGTTCGATCCCCGGCTGCTCCCCGGCCACCGGAGGAGGGTCCCACATGGTGTGCAGACCTCTCCTGCCGCCCGCTGCTCCCCTCAGCAGTGTGCTTCGGTCCTTCTGCCTGCTCTGCTCCCTGCTCTGGCTCTGGTGAATTCTCTCACCCTCCCGCGCTTCTGACTGTGCCCAGTGCATGTATAAACAAATAAATAAATCTTAAAAAAAAAAAAAAGAAAGTATTTGCAAAATAGATCTGCTTGTAAATAGGTAATTTAAAAAAAATTAAAAACAAAATAAAATAAAATGACCAGAAGTGTCCACGAAGGGGTGCAGCTGGAATTCAAGCCTATGCCTTTCCTCTTTCCTCTGGACTTTGACCTTTCCAGGGTCTGGACTCTAACTGTGCTGGTTGCCCAGGGGGCACAGGCCACATTCCAACTGCAGAGAAAATCAGATGCTGAGGAGGATGCGCAAGCCCCAGTCACAGCCAGAGAGCAGAGATTCAGCCCTGGCGGGGCGTGAGCTGGAGGGAGGAGATGAGACCTGGCCCCGGAGCAGTAGCCTTAAGGAGTAGGAGAGAGAGTGAGCGTGTGTGCGCGCATGTGTGTGCGTGGAGAGCTTTTCCCCCTTGCTCAAGAACACATCACTCAACCGCCTTTTGGGCTGGGGTAAGTCTTCTGCAAGAGGGTTCCACCAGCCTCTAGATCTGGTTACTGGAAAGCCCGCCCCGTCTTGTATTCCTGTGTATCTGCACAGACCGCGCACCGGGCAGCGCGCCCCCCATAAACAAACTTCAGGCGTGAATTCAACATTTTTGTGACTGACCTGGGGGGAGGCTGCTGAAGGTCCCTGCTGATCTGATTTGACTGAAGCTGACACGGGCAGGCTCCAAAGAGGTCTGAATGGACTGGGTTGCTGGCCAGGTTATCCACGACGGAATTTAAATCACATAAATGGGGGCGCCAATACTTCACATCCCCAAAAAGAAAGGCTCCAAATGGTGGGGCGATGGCTTCGTGGGAGGACTTGTGAACACCACCAAGTGTATTCGAGGATCTGAAGGGCCGCGGGCTGTTCTAGAGAAGAACAAACACTAGGAGGAGGCAAGAATAAAACCGTGTCAGCTGGTGGTGAATGCTATGCGCAGAGGGCGATGGTGGCTCCTGGAGACGGAGTGCCCCGAGGGAAATCCTAAGGAGGCGGCCTTTGAATGCCCATGGTCTGGGGGAGCAGGGCAGCCTTTCCTGGACCCTCCTCCCGCGCCTCCCCCTCTCCCACTTGGGGGCCGTCTGATGCAGAGCTGGGGAGCCACAGTCACTGGCTGCAGAGGGCACGTGCGCGCCCCACCTAGGTGACAGGCGCGTGCGCGCTGGAGGGCGGGAAGCCGGGCCGGTCCATGCGCCCCGCGGTAGTGGCGGTTGCAGCCCCCGCTCGAGGCTCGAGGCTCGGCCTAGTGGTGCGCTCAGGGCCGAAGGGAAGGAGCTGCTGCTGTCTCTGCCGGGGCGATGCCGGTGACGAAAGTAAAGGGTCGCCCTTTCTGTTTCAGCGTGAAAGGCCAAGTGAAGATAATACGGCTGGTGAGGACCCGGCCGTGGGATGGGGGCCGTGTCCAAACGCGCTGCGGGGCCGGGAGCTGTGGCTGTAACGCATGAAGCGGAATGCTGGTCTTCTCTTTCGGTTTGGTTTTTCCCATCAGTGCCTCCCTAGAAGACTGGCATTTTGCTGTGCACCTGGTGGGGGATGGGGGGCAGGGGGGGGTCGGGCGGGTGGAGATGGAGAAAGAGGTACTGTCCTCCCCATCGGGGGGTTACCCTCACATTCCTGAAGCAGAACCAGCATCTCTACATGAATGACCTACACTTGAAGGACCCACGAGCCAGGAACTCAGGTTACCAAGGGAGGCCGCTGCAGGTGGCCCACTCAGAAGCCAAGAAGATAAAAGACCCAGGTGTCCGTGCATGCTGGTCTCCTCCTGTGAGCCAGAAGTCTGATGTGCTGGAACGCGGCTGATACCGTTCAGAGCAAGGACGATGGATCTGCGGGTCTCTGGGGCACCAGCATCGACTTCAGTCAGATGCTCAGAGGCTTGGAGAGAATGAATCATCACTTGAGGACAGTGACGGGGCCAGTGAGAGAGGTAGAAACTGTCCTAGGAGGAGATATTGGAGAATTCAAGAAGAGAAAAAGGGGCAGGAAATTCTTTTGAAAGAGATGATATGTCAGAGAGCCAGGGTGGAAACAGGACAACAGTTCCACTTCATATGAACTAGTTTATATTGGGAAAGTTCTGAAATTAAGTGGCCACTTGGAAAGGCAGTAGGTACCCAGAGGGCAAAGGTCACAGGCACAGATGAGCACTCAGTGACCTGTTGGAAGAGCTTCGAATGTCAGTGATTGGGTAGAACAAATTGCACAGAAGGTCCTTCCCACACCAGAATCTACGAACCTGAGAAATAACTGTAAGTTACAATACATAAGAAAACAACTCTTTAGTTCAAAGAATGGAGAGAGTGCTTTGGGTTGGGAGTCAGTAATCCAGGAGACGTGATCTGAGGGGCTGTTGTTTTAGGCCAGGAACTGAAAGTTCTGGAATACTGAAGAAGGGACAAAGTTTTGTAAGAAAGGTTTGGCTTTTGACATAGGATTCCCCTCAAAAACAACTTGAGTATTTAATGTACCACAAGATCTGAGTTAGGACCTGGAACAAAGACAACCAAGAGAAAAATCTCTGGCTCATGGGATGATTCATTTTAGTCATGAAACAGAACCCTGCCTCGTGGCAGGAGCCGTGGCAACAGAGGCAGACTCTCAGGCCGAGGCTCCAATGCAGGCCGGCTTTGGCTGCGGCTCTTCAGAGCCCAACAGCCTATGGGCCTGACTTGAGATCAGGGCAGGTTGGGGCTGTACCAAGTTCCCTTTTATACTTGGATGGTGGAGTGGTCCCATCAGGTGCGAACTATGAGCTGATAGGTGCTAAATGGTCCAATCAGTCATAGGATTGAAATGGTCCAATCAGACCTGTAGGTGGGGTTTCCTGAAAGAAGATAAAAGGCAGCGCTGTTGGGAGCTGAGGAGACTGTTCCTGGCCTCGGAAGAACGAAGCAGCATCCAGCAGCTGACCCTCCAAGTAAGGAAGAGAAGCCAAAGGCCTGGCAGAGATTGGGCTGCCATACCTGCCTCTGGTCCTATCTCTGATATTGCCTGAAAGGCACAGCAAAGGCCCCAGGCTTGGTATCTCAAACAGCTGTTTGTTGTGTTTGTAGCCCAACAACTCACAAAGAGCTGTTAACACCTGGTGTCTCTGGCACCTCCTGGTGGCTGGTGGTGACCATCAGGACATTCCCTACTGAATCAAACGGACCAATTTCAATGAGGAAAAGGTTATTTTCACATTACTAAAGTAACCGGAAGAATTATGACTAAGTGCCCTGTGTAGCTTTAAGAGTATGTAGATGCCATCAGCTGGCAGGCTGATCGTAGAACTCTAGCAACGGAAGACATGACAAAACTAGATTTCAAGAACACAGAGACTTTGGGTGGGGCTCTGTCTCCTCCGAGCATCATGCCATTGACACACTTCCTGGACCTCACCAGCTCATTTTTGCCTTTAAGTCACTTAACGTTTCCACAGTCCATATCTTCATTTGAAAATCAGGAAGTTGGGTTAATGATTTTCTGATCTTTTTAGTATTATTATTTAATTAAATTGTCAATTCTGATTGCATTGTATTTAGGTAAGAGGAAGTATGTAAAAAGTGAAGCCTCAGAATTGGTGGTGGTTGTTTTTTTTCCATACAGGAGGGTCTTTCTGAGAATTGTTTTTCTCTGACAGTTTTAAATGTTTGCTACCCAGTATTTTTCATGGCAACACTCTTCAGTTTAAAGTGGACAGCAGGCTCCAGATTGTTAAAGAGTTAAGGCGTGGGGGCTTCCCTGGTGGTACAAGGGGTTAAGCACAGAACTGTGAAACTGTCTGCAGCCGCTGCAGCACAAGTTCGATCCCCGGCCAGGGAGCTACCCCGCAGCAGACCTCTCCTGTCTCCCCGCTGTTGCCCTCAGCAGTGTATTTCAGTCAGTCTGCCTGTTCTGCTCCTCACTCTGTCTCTGGTGAATCCTCTCACTCCCCACCCCTCTGCCCTGTACCCCAGCTCTTGTATGCATGAATAAATAAAATAATAAATTAAATCCTAAAAAGAGAGAGTTAAGGAGTGGTGAGTCGACGAAAAGGGTTTATAGCAGAGTATGTACATACTTGTTTGAAGATTGCTGCAGGAAGAAATAGAAAATAGAAATAGAAAACAGTTTCTGCGGGGAACAGAGAGAAAGGAAGGTGTGTGTATGTGTTTCAGTTTTAAGAGAAGACACCTTAGATATGTTTCTAGGAAGGAAGGAGAGAGTGGAGGAGGTGAAATTGATAGTATAAAAGGACAAAGAAAACATTTAATGGAAAAAGAGCAAGGCAACAGATGTGAGAAGTAACAGTATTAGGTGTACAGGTAGAGTAGTGAGATTAAAAGAGGGACACCAGGGCCTCCCCTGGTGGCACAAGCAGTTGAGTGTCGCGCTGTGAAGCTGCCCATAGCCTCTGCAGCACCAGTTCAATCCAGACCGGTGAGGGTCCCACATGGCGCAGCAGACCTCTCCTGTCTCGCCCGCTGCTCCCCTCAGCAGTGCATTTTGTCAGTCTGCCTGTTCTGTTCCCCACTCTGTCTCTGGTGGATCCTCCCGCAAATCTGTCCTGTACCCTGGTTCTTGTATAAATAAATAAATCTTTTTTAAAATTTAAAGAAAAGAGGGACACCAAGGCTCCCAGACACAAAGATAATCAGCACCCACACACTTTGGCCATGCCTCTTTTACGTGTGTGTGTGTGTGTGTGTGTGGCAGAAGCCCATATATTTATTTTAGAAACGATTGTTTTTTACAGCTTAAACTTACGTTCGGTGATTGAATAATCATTTCTTTTTCTTACAGGCACTAACTGTGACATCTATGACCCTTTTTATTATCGCGCAAGCACCTGAACCATACATTGTTGTCACTGGATTTGAAGTTGTCGTTGTTTTATTTTTCATAATTTTATATATGCTCAGACTTGATCGCTACATGACCTTCTTATTTTGGCCTTTGCTTGTAAGTGTTCCGTTTCCTCATTTAAAATCACAGCTTTTTCCTGACATAGTAAGACATTTTAATAAATCCTCCTAATTTTGTGTTAAGCCTTTAAGGTAATTTTTGACAGGCTTAGGAAGAAGGGACTCTGCTCTCTGCTAATGTGCTAATTGTCCCGGGGGAGATTTTCAGGAAATGTGGCCGCCTCAGAGCATAAATTCTCCGAGTTCCATCTCTCAGTGACGTGACTGTCCCATCTGTTAGGAGGATTCACTTAAGTGTAGATTGTCTAAAAAATGTTTAAGATCATGGTTAATAAAATAATGGAGCATTCTTAATCTTTATTTCCCTTTTGTTTCTGTTTTCTTTTTGCATTTTGCTATTTGTTTTGCTGGACCTTTTTTTTTTTTTAACTCTCCCTTTTATTTTTTTTTTTTAAAGATTTATTTATTTATTTATACAAGCACTGGGTACAGTCAGAAGCGCGGGAGGGTGAGAGAATTCACCAGAGCCAGAGCGGGGAACAGAACAGGCAGACTGATGAAGTACACTGCTGAGGGGAGCAGCGGGCGGCAGGACAGGTCTACTTGCCATGTGGGACCCTCGCCGGGGGCCGGGGATCGAACCGGCGCTGCAGAGGCTGCGGGCAGGTTCGCAGCCCAGCGCTCAACTGCTGCGCCACCAGGGGAGGCCCTTAACTCTCCCTTTTAAATGCATGTTGAGCTGGCCTAAAAACTGAGGTAGAGATGGGGCGGATACACAAGTATCTACAACTTGCATGTCCCTGATCACTAAGCAGAAAATCAAAATAATTTGGGACACTGAATAAAGTACAATGTTGTCTTACTTTAAAATGTTAGTGCTAAATAATTTTAACTCATCTTGTAGAAGCTTATTTAATAGCATGTGGAAGCTTATTTAATGGCATCTGTCATACTCACAGTATTAGAAATAATTGCCCAACAGAGTGTCCAGATGGTTCTAGAAATGATCAACATAGGCCAGTTGAAGCTATTAATTAAAGTGCATATGACCCCCGTTAGCCTGGACAATAAGCTGGTTCTAAGAGAAACTGAGGTGTCTCCCTTCTAAGACATCCTCCACCACTCCCCGCCCCTCTCAGCCCTGCCCCTCTCTGACTGGACTGGTCAGTCTTCCTCGTCTGTATTTCTGATCATCCTCTAGGATTCCAGAGTCCTGATACTCTAAGCTGATAGCCCTTATTCAGGAGCTAGAGCTTCAAAACTATTCTCAGAGTATAAACCTGTCTTAAAGCAGTATCTTCCGGAACGGCTTTTGAGGGCCAACGATGAATATTTCAGGCTAATCACAATCAGTGCAAACAGGGGAAAGTTGGGAAATAGATAGTCTCTCTCCAAACTCCTCCTTGACCTACACTTTCGACCTGAACCTTATTGGAGGGAGGTCTAGGAAAAAAGAACAAAGTCTTCCTCAGAGCTGAAATACCAGTAAGTGGCAGAAAGGGCTCAGTGAAATGGTTCTAAGAATTTCTTCAAGGAGATGTTGAGTGTGGCCCACATCTTCTTACTCTTATACTCAAAAAGTTGTATAGTGACTATTCCAGGGTTCATAAAACGTATACATTATAGATTTATTTTTCTCCAAACTATAATAATCCTCTGGAACATCTTACATGTCACAGTAATAAACTTGGAACCCTACGTTCAACGAAACATACCGAGAGGGAGAGTGGCCTATGTGTCGTCACCATTTCCCTAAGGAGCAGGACTGACAGTCAGATTGTTGACAAACGGCGCTACGCCAACCGAGCCTCCGCTCCATTAGGAAAACTAGATTCTCTCTGCTCTTGATCTGATGAAGTCACTTATTCAAATGTTCAGTATCCACGAATTGCAGGTTCTGAAAAGGGTTCTTTGGTGAGACAAAACACAAATATGCGGATGAGAAACTTTCAATGTAGCCAAGAAGCAAGACAGACGAGCACGCTAGTGTCACTGCTGCTGCCATGGCTGTTGACCCAGGCCGGTGCGGAGGCAGCAAGAGTAGGGAGCAAATCCCAACGGGCTCGCATGCGGAGCCCAGGCCGGAGGACGAAAGCATTGAGCAGCAGACGGACAGGGGGGCAGGTCTTTCTCAGCAGAAGGAGCAGTGTATGTGAGGGTCTAGGGGCAGGCAGTGTGATCCCCTGGCCCAGGTAGTTAAGACTGTTTGGGCTACTGAGTTGTGAAGATAGGAGCCAGAGGGGAGGCTTGAGGGGCAGTAAAAGGTCAGAGCATGCAAGACTTTGGGTTTTAACCCAAAGGCCATGGGAAGCTATGGAATCTTTCAGTAGGAGAGCGTCACATGACCGGGGGGTGGGCACTGTCAATAATGATTGAAGGGGAACAAAACTAGAGGGGAGACTCAGACCACTTCAAAGTCTGTTACTATAAATCAGGCATGAAAATGATAAAGGCCTGAGTGAAGGTTCATAGCAGCAGCTGGAGAGAAAGGAGGTGTTAATAAGGTAGAATTGACAGGACTGGGTAACTCAGTAACGTGATAAGGTTGTTTGATCTACATTGTAGACAACCCCACATTGTATATTACTAAAACGGGCCGCTCTGACCTGGCAGTGTGCCGTTCTAGTGTAAACCTCCTCCATAACACATCACCCACATTCCCAACCAGGTAAGTTCCCTCTGACTGCATTTAAATTTAAAAAAGAAGCCTGTTCAGTAAGCGACAGGTGCATCACAGGCTAAAAGCATCCCTGTCAATGAAATACAACACAGGTGTCATTTTACTATTGTTTGGTTTCCTACAAGATAATCACTAAATAAATGTGTTTAATAAAGTAGAACTGTCAAAATCTTTAAGGGACTTTTGTTTGTTTGTTTGTGGTGGTGTCGTTTTTGGTGATCTTCATGTAAAGCTCATCTCTCTTCTGTGTTTTCAGGATGTCGTCAACTCACTGGTTACAGTGACATTTATGATCATCATAGCCGTGCTGGCGCTGCTACCAGAAACCACACTGTCCACAGTCCTGGGAGGGGTAAGTGGGGGGGGTCTTTCCAGTTTTTCCTTTAGGTTTGATCAGAATTCAGATTTACTTGGAAAATATATACAAGAAACGATATCATTGTCCTCCCGGGGGCTCCTCTGCCAGTTTTTGTGTGTGAAGACTTATCCTGGTTAAGGTGAAGAAATTAAGGTGATTTCACAGTAAAGCTGAAGGTAGCCAAGTGAAGATGATCCTACATGTGTCCCAGAGGTATGTAGGTTACCCTAGAGGGGGAAAGGCATTACTGGTTGCGGCAGTAATTACTGGATGAGTTTCTCAGATGCCAGAACCTGGATGTGGAGGAAACTTGGATGAGGTTCATAGCTCTCCCTTTTAAAGAAAAGGACACACACTACCTGTTAAGGTGAGATGGGCTGCTCTATGTTTACTCACTTACTGTCCAGATCCTTCTTCAGAGGGAATAGAATAGATGCCGTGTGAGAAGGGAACAGAATGTACTCAAGGGTTGTCCTGAACACTGCTTGATGAGGAGCCAATTAGTTCCATCCGACTCTATCCTGGAAAGCAAGCCAAAAATGAGAGTCAGGTCAGTTGTAGTTCTAGCCAATATTCTTCTGAGATTTCTTATGGGAGATTCAAAATCACTTGGCTTTTCCAGGTTCTGATCTAGGGAAGTGGATTAGAAAGCTCTCCGTAAGCCCCCTCCTACTTCCCTGTTCTGTTCATGGCATGGGCTACCTCAGAACTGACACACTCAGCCAGCCACGCATGTCAGCACCCACGGACTTTCACCTCCCATATTAGGCCCCGAGCAACTTCATGAGGGATGGGAATTATTCTAGAAATTAGATATTACCAGAACAGCAATTTCCCCAGCTGTCTTTAAAGAGAATCATGTGCCTCTGAGAAAGAGGGACCAGGCAGAGGACTGACTCATTCCTTAAGTGCCCCCGGCGGGTGCTGTCAAGGAACGGAGCTGAGCTGTCCACGTGGCTGCCAAGCCCTGGAAGTGCAGTGGGTCTGGATAGAGGTGGGCTGTATGTGTGAAATCCACACTGAATTTCTAAGACTTGCTGTCAAAAAAAAAAAAGCATATAGAATATTTAATAACTTTATTATAGCCGGGATATGTTAAAATGGTAACATTTTGGATCTATCACACTAAATAAAATCTATTATTAAAATTTCACTTTTTTAAGCTTTGGAGTACGGCTAGTGGAAAATCTGGAATGATGTGGCCTACACGGCCGATGCGCAGGGCCCTGGGAGGGTACTGGGCTGAACGTGTGCCCTATCGTCGAGTCACTTAGAGCTTCACAAAGGAGGCCAGAGCTCAGACAGCTGTTGACAGAGTTACTGCAGGACATGGGAAAGAGGAAGCAACCACCTCTCTCGGGCAGCAGAATGGCAGTTCTCCAGGAATAAAGGGAGAGGACGCAGGGTCAGGAAAGGCTAGGCAGGAGGGACTCAGTGTGGTCAGAGCCGGGGAGAAGCCACGATGGCTGGAGCCAGCAGAGGCTTCCTGGCCCCTGGATGTCGGGGACTGGACAGCATGTGAGGAAGGACACCCCCACCTTCTTCTGCCCAGGGCACCAGTTCTCAGACAGCCGTTGGATGCCAGAAGTCCGTGTTCTCTCTAGTTTATTGCCTCCACCTCGATGTTATTATCCGGAGGCCTATTTAGAATCTCACCAGTTTCGTGGATGCAGCCAGAGTGCAGAGCCCAGCCTCTCAGCATTCACTTTGGAGCATCATGTCACCCTAGTTCTCCACAGCTTCTATCACAGTTACTAATGCCTTGGTTCCATCTTGAGGTGGTGTTAATGTTAACCCTTTCTCCAAATGAATGTGCAGTGGGAAAGTCAAATTCTCGAACTTTCCTACTGGGGCCTGAAATGCTGGCGGAGAACTGAATACCAACAACAGAGCTTCCCACGGCGCGTCCAGGAGCAAGCCAAGAGAGCCACTTGAATATCATTTCTGCTCACTTAGATGGTCTTTTTCCTTTCTCCAGGGGGTGACTGGGAAACATGGGGATGAGAATAAAATGAGCCCTGGGGTCTCAGCCCCGGAGGGGAGGAAGCGGCGGGCAGGCCTGGTAAGCTGCGGGAACCGCAGCCCCAGACCAGCCACCCAGTGACGCCAAGTGTCTTTGTTCCCAGGTGTTTGGATTCCTGGCAGCAGTGTCCTGTCTCGTGGATGCAGCACTTATTTACCGGAAACTTCTATTTAATCCCGGTGGTCCTTATAAGAAGACGTCTGCGCATAACCGAATATAAATTTTGTATTTTTATGTTCCTTTTTAGTTGAGGCTAAGCATTAAACGTATGTCTTTATTCTTACACCTATTTTTCTGTAGAATTTCTCATTTAATTCACTCAGCGTGGGAGCCGGAGGGAGAGATTTAGGAACTCTGCGCCCAGCTAGCACCCTCCCTGTCACGTCCACGGGAGGTGGGGTGCATGGGATCAAACCCACTCTACCCCTCCTGGACCCGGGTGCCAGAAAAGAATGCACTGAAATGGCCTCCAGATGGCCTTGGGGGCCCCCTGGGGTGGGAGAGGTAGGGGGAGGTAGGGGGAGACACTGAGCTCCAGGCCAGGCAGCAGCGCCTCAGCAGGTGGAGACAGGTGGCGGGAGGGCAGGGTTTGCCCTGGGGGCGCGCGAGGGCTGGAGGCCACGGCCGTTGGGGCGGAGGCGGCCGTTGGGGCGCTGGGTTACCCCGGGAGCGCGGCCGCCACAGTGCAGGCGCAGAGCCCAGGGCCAGCCCGACACCGCTAGGCCCGCACCACCGACCCCGAAGACCCGGAGGTCCGCTGGGGACACCTGCGCCCCGGCCGCCCCGCGCCTCTGCTGCAGCCTGAGCGGCCACCGAGCTCTTGACGATGTCCACCGTGAAGCCAAGGCCGTCCGTGCCATCGTCCAAGGCACCCGTGCCCCCAAAGCCGTCCGCGCCGCCGTCCAAGGCGTCCGCGCCGTCAAGGGCATCCGCGCCACGGCCAAGGACATCCGCGCCGCCGCCCAAGGCAGGCCCCGCACCCCCAGCTAAAGCCACCGAGCAGCAGCAGCCGGTGCCCCCCAGCACGGAGAACAAGGATGCCATGCAAAAGCGTGCGCAGGAACGGGCCAGAGTCCCGGGCAAATTCCGGGACAGCATCAAGCATTATTTCTTCACGCCCACCGGATTGTTGAAGCTCCTGAGACTGGTGAGGAGCAGGGTGGACCTGGGCGATGTGGGCCTGCCTCGGCCTCTGGGAGTGAGTCTTAGGGCGAGGCACCTCTGCAAAGCTCCCCTCGAGCGGCCCTCGGCCCGCCTTTCTCCCCTCCCGGCTGCTCCACCCACACAAGCAAACCCTCACTGCTAAATTTGACTTTTTCCCCTTTTAAATTTCTGCAGTTTTTCCCTCCCTAAGGGAATTAGGAAGCAGTGATGATAACAGCAGAGATGTGTAAATTAGCAAATAAAAATAAGAGAATTGACCAATAAAACAGATAAACCACTGCTAGCCAATATGCTCAGGATAAAGGGGGTGTGGTGTGGGAAAGAGAGGGTATAAACTGCAGAGCCCAGGCAGGAGACACGCAAACACCCAAAGGAGTGCTTTGCAGAACAAACAAATTTGAATAACTGAATGAAATGGTTGCTTTTTCTCGGAAATTACAGATTACCAAAAAACAGACACCTGTATAAACACCAAGGAAAATGAGAAGTTATCAAATGAGTATCTTTCAAAAATGTATCAGGCTCAGACTTTTTCACAGGTTAACTCTTTCAAGCCTTCTTGGGATATAATCTGATACTATTTTAACTTTTTAAAAGAACTGAGAGAAAGAAGATATGCTTCCTGACTATTTTTACAAAGTCAGCATAACCCTGATAGCAAAACCTGAGGAATGCAGGAAAACAATAGAGATCTTGCAATCAAAGCAACAAATAGGGATATATTAGTAGGAAATATTCATCAGTTTTTGTTGTTGTTTTTTTTTGCATAGAAGAACTGGGGTGTAGGCCAGAGGTGGGGGAGGGAGGTGAGAGGATTCACCAGAGACAGAGTGGGGAGCAGAACATTCAGATCTACCGAAATCCACTGCTGAGGGGAGCAGTGGGCAAGACAGGAGAGGTCTGCTGTGCCATGTGGGTAGCTCCGGGGATCGAACTCAGGCAGTAGTAGTGCTAGCACTGAGCCTTAACCCCTAGACCACCAGCGAGGCCCCACCGGTATTTTTTTTAAATATACCGTGAGGAAGAAACATGATGGTGATTCAATATCAGGATTCTGTTAAGCTAATTCACCATATAATAAGTAAAAGGAGAAAAATTGGAGATCACATTGCTGAGGAACAAGCTAGTATTTACTTTTCTAGGTCAATAAGATTGGAAAATAAACTCACACAAGACAGATAACAAGAGAAAAAGACTAATTGTGTACCCAGAGAGGCCCAACTGTAGAATAATGGAGACTGATCTAGTCATTTCAGTGAGTTGAAATACTTTTTTAGACAGAGGATAATAAATTTAGGAGGGAAAGACAGAACAAAGACCTTTAAAATATTTAAGGGCCTCCCCGGTGGCACAGCAGGTTGAGCATCATGCTGTGGAGCTGTCCGCAGCCTCTGCAGCGCGGGTTCGATTCCCTGCCGCCCAGGGAGATTCCCACATGGCGTGGCAGACCTCTCCTGTCTCACCCGCTGCTCCCCTCAGCAGTGTCTTTGGTCCATCTGCCTGTTCTGTTCCCCACTCTGTCTCTGGTAAATTCTCTCACCCTCCCGCGCCTCTGACTATACCCCAGTTCTTGTATATATAAAAATAAATCTTAAAAATATATATATTTAAAAGAAAGGTTTTTGCAGTTATCTATATACGCATCAAAAACAGACCTTGCAAGGCCTAGCCAGATGTGATAAGCTGCCTCTCACCTCCAGGGCCACCACAAGATTTATTTCCTGATATTAGAAAGATAATTAGGGAAATCAGCAATTCTGAATCTGCTGTTCTTTCAGTTGTCTTCAACTCAAAATAATCAGCATTCCACTTTGACACATCCTGGAGCAGTCAGCCTTAAGTCCCCACAATATCAAGCAGGGTATAGAATACATTTGGCAAAATTAAATATTCATCCCTGACTGCAAAGAGAGGGAGGTGGAGGGAAAGTGAGACATGGGGGGAGGGGAGAGTGGAGAAGAGAGAAGGGACAGGAAGGGGAAGGAGGAACAGGAGGATGAGGAAAATAGGAGTACATATGTATTCCACTGACATCATGAAAATGAACCCAAAAGTCAGCATCATATATAATGAAACAACAGAATTCCCATAAAATGAGGGACAAAGTAGATGCCCACTAGCACTGTCGTTATCCAGGATTTCTCTTGAACTACTCGTCATCACAATTAAGAAAAAGAAATAAGAACATTTGAAAAGAAGAGGGAAATATTTCTTTCCGCTGACTTGATCGTATATCTAAACAACTCAGAGATTACTGGGAAGTAAGTTAGAACCAGGTGATTTATTTAGGTGACTCATTATTGAGTTAATAAAGGAAAAGTTTTTCAATAAGGACTTAAACAGAAGAAATTTTTCTTCACAACAGCAATCAAAATGATAAAATAGGGCCTCCCCGGTGGCGCAGCGGTTGAGCACTGGGTTGCGAAGCTGCCCGCAGACTCTGCGGCTCTGGTTTGATCCCCGGCTGCTCCCCTGCCACCGGAGGAGGGTCCCACATGGCGCGCAGACCTCTCCTGCCGCCCGCTGCTCCCCTCAGCAGTGTACTTCGGTCCTTCTGCCTGCTCTGCCCCACGCTCTGGCTCTGGTGAATTCTCTCACCCTCCCACGCTTCTGACTGTACCCAGTGCATGTATAAACAAAACAAACAAACAAACAAACAAATAAATAAAACATGACTCTATTAAAAAAAAAAAATGATAAAATAGCTTCAGTTAAACAAAATATATTTGAAAGACCTATATGAAGAAAATATTAAAACGCTACTGAGATACTTACAAAACCCTGAAATAACTGGAAAGACAGACTTTGCCCCCGAACAGCAAGATCAAGCTTTGTAATCTTTTCATACTATAAATTAAACACAATTCCAATTAAAATACCAGCAGGCTTAGTTTGGGGGCACTTAACCAAGACAAACCTGGGAGACCTGAGAATGAGCAGCGAAAGGGACAGTAGGCCAGGCAATGATATAATACAAAATTGCCTGTAATTTCAGAAGAAATGAGCAAATCAGTGAAAAGGAAAAAGTCTGAAAGGGCACCTGCAATACACCTGAGAATTTAGTATATGATAAAGGCTGGGTTTCAGATGAGTAGTATTTCCCAATAAAATGATGTTGGGATCATCAGCAGCAGTTTGGAAGGGCTGTCGGGACTCTTAGCTCACTCTATCAGAGTCAATCTATCTCTACTCTGTGGGTATACCAGCCTTCCTGGCATGAAATCTACACTGCTGCAGTGGTGACTTTTAAGGAGAAAGACCAGGGTTAGGTTGGGGGAAGAGAAAAACTGATGTTATACTGTGTGCATTTCTATTATTTTCATGTATTATTTCATTTCTCTAAAAGACATTTTGAATAATAAAAATGTTCAAAACAATACAGAAATTGCAATAGAATCAGATTTATGTTCTGACAATGTATGGATTGAAAAAAAATCATCTGTGTCCATTAAAACAAATCCTGTTTCTTTTATCACAGGGTCTTCTCATAGGAGCTTTAGTTTGTTTCATTACTGCCGAAGCCCACGAATCGTATATAGCAATCACCATTCTGGAAATCTGCATAGTCCTTTTTTTTATTCTAGTATATATGCTAACCCTTCACCACTTGCTGATTTGCTTAGACTGGTCCTTACTTGTAAGTATTCATTTTCATAATTCCAATATAAGCTTTGCCCTCAGCCCCCAGAGTCAAGGCTCTCCTCAAGTGAAAACAACAAAGCCCTGTCTCTCTGGACAAGGCCAGAGCTGACTGTAACAGGCTGTTGCCCTGGAGCTAGGGAGGTCACTCGCCTAATGCCCAGAAAGATTCCTTGGAACTCTCTGTCCACAGAACAGCCAACACACATACTGGTCTGTAGCTCATGACACTGAACAAATGGAGGTTTTCAGCTAAGGAAATTTTTAATGAGTATATTCAGTAGGTAAACACAGTTCTCACCTTACAAAACAGCAGATGCTTCTACTTTTCAAACTATATCCTTCCCAAAAGATTATAAACAACCCCTCCCCCTTCAAAAAAAAAAAAAAGCACAAGAGTTGACATGGCAGAGTTTTAAAAAATTGTTACACGTACTGTAAAAGACAGCAGGAGTCTGCCTTTCTGTGTGTTAACAGCTAAGGGCCCATCTTCCCCAAGGGTGCCATATGGTGGCTGTTCAGGAAACAGCACTGCATCCCTGTTTTTGATGCATTTTCCAGAATTTCATATTCTTTACCAACTGAAAACTTCCCAAAGTTAACCCCTCAGGGTTTAGACAAACCTTGCTTATTTGTGGAGCCTAAGGCATTGCATCCTCACAGGCTGGCCGAGGAACACCAGTTTTGTCCAGATGCAGCCTGGGGCCTAGTCCCTGGCCCTGGCACCTCTCTGAGTGGGTGAACTTGAACCTCAGTTTCCAGAGGTTCAAAGCCTGATAAGAAGTAACTGAATTCTTGTAACACTTCCCTGTGTTTAAAGCAAACAGCACAATGTTGGGTACAGAACAAATATTTACTACAAAGTGGTCAAAGAGAAAAAACAGCCCGTCAGATCCCATGGGGAACTGGGTGCCGTTTGCCATTTAAACTGGCGCTGTGGACAATCCTAACTCCTAACTCAGGCCTCTTCCACATTCTGCTCCCTTAGAGTCACTTTTTCTAACCTGGATGTAGGCCTGGTTGCTATTGAGCTAAATCTCAAGATATTTTCTTCGAGTGCATGAAGGATTTTCTGGGCAAGCATCAGGAAGCAGACAGAGCAAAAGAGGAGCGACTTTGACTGGAGATAGGGACCCTCTTAGTTACGGAGAGCTGCAGCCGGGGGGAGATTTCTGAAGGGAAACTAAAAGCTCTGTCCACGGAGATTTTCACGAAGGGCAGGCAACATGAGTGGGTTTTGAGCCTGTACCATGTGTCCCATGCTTTCTCGTAGATTCCTGTTACCTTGTTAAACCTCAACACCCTGGTGAGCTTGGAGTCACCCCCTATTTCCTGGTTAACAGATGAGAAAATGGGACTAAGGAGATGAAGCGTCGGGGGTGGGTGCAGGCTGGCTGCCTCGAAAGCCCCCTCTTTCCGTGAGGCCCCAGTGGCCTGAGATGCTTTCTCTCTCGTCACCCTCCCCACATCTTTGTCCTCCTCGGCATCTCTACATTTGATGTTCTTGTACCTTCTCCTGTTTCCTCCTGATTTCCACGCGAGCCAACAGTGAATGGATACCCCTGGGGGACCCTGACTGAGGGCTCCCCAGCACCAAAGTCAGCAGCTGAGGTCCAGGCCCATGCGTCACAGCACTGGCAAGAGGCTCAGGCCTGCGCCATGCTTTGCTGTAGGGTCCAGGTGGGGTGGCCAGGAAGTGCCCCAACAGGGGAAAGGGCTGGGGTCCCCCGAGTAGGAACATCAGGGCCTGAGAGAGGAGCTGACCCCACAACTTGACAGGCTGCTCAGGCCAGCTCTCGTCAACTCTGGCAGAGCGGGCTGCCCACTCTCTTTGCCCTTGGCCCAAGCACCTTCCCCTGCCTTTGTCTTGGGGCCGTCTCTGGGCTGTGGGATGGCACCACACATGCCTGGCAAGCTCCCGGGAGCTTTGCAGCTTAGGGAGATGGGGGGTGCTCGGTGACCAGCAGCACACGGCGCAGCAGCCACAAGCTAGACTCAGGAGCTGGTCCGTGGCGAGCCATGCTTGGAAAGTTTTCTAAAAGAGCCATCCAAACAGGATCCGAGACCATATTCTCTTCTCTCCCGCTGTACCCTTCAGATCCCGTAAGGTGCAGGGTGTGTACAGGGGCCTAGAGGACCTTTTGACACTTCAGAGCCTCGGAGGACTGGGGGCGTGTGGGCACCCAGCGACAGGAGGCCCGCGGGGCCTCAGGGATGGATCAGCGAGGGAGGCGGGGTACCACGGGCCTCATTCTGTCCCTGCCTGGGGCTCTGCACCGGGTCGGGGCCGGCCCACGCTCTCCAGGTGCCCTGCCTGCGCAAGATGGTTGGGGGTGTAGGCTTAGGGTCAGGAGGACTGATTTTAAGTGGCAATTTCCTTAGAGGCTCGCATCAAGCTAAAGTTTCCGATTCCCCTGTTTCCATTCCGGGCTGACAAACAGGTGAAAATCCCCAACCCGGAGACACAAAGTCTGAGGAATGAGGGCTTCGCCCCCTCCACAGGGCAGCGACAGGAGTGCTGGCCTCGGTACAGATGTCTTGCTGAGGTCTGTGGGCTCAAGGGCCCTCCTTTGGCTTAGCCCCCCCCCCTCTGGAGAGAGGATGGAGTCCAGGCTTGGGGACCCACACCCCAGTCTCTGAGTGGCAGCTTCTTACTTCCGCGCTGGGCACTGTGCCACCCATGGGGAGGGTGCAGGTCCAGCTCCCACCAGCCCAGGCTTGGGGCGTGGCTGAGTGCTCCAAGCCAGCGAGTGGACCCTTTGCCTCATCCCCCCAGGGGGGGGCCCCTGCCTTCTCTTCTTCGTCTTCACTGTCCATTTGACCCGCCCTGGTCTGGTGTCCCCTGTCAACATCCCCAAGAAAAGTAAGCGTTGTAGTGATTCTGAAGAGTCCACATTTTTACCACTATGACACCAGTTTCCCTGGATGACAGAGAAACTAAGTTCCGGTCACGCCAAGGGCTTTGCCAATGGAAAGCAATTTTTTAAAAAATAGCATCTTAGCCATGTTTTAAACTAAAATGCTATGGAAGGGATGATTCCAAAAGTACCAACAACAGCTTTACCTTTCTGAGTCATCAGCTTGAGAATGTCCCCTTCAAGTGAGACAGACATGAGAGCTCAGCCCCTGCTGACGTGGGGCCTGGCTCCACAGTATGTTTGGAAACCACCAGACTCAAAGGAAACTGAGGAAGCGCAGGCAGCCTCACACCCTCTGTCCATTCCACAGAGTCTTGCCGCAAACACTGCATTTTGTGAAACAAGATTATTTATCTTTTTTTCTAATGGTCAGTGATTAAAAAATAAGCGGTCACCTTTTCTCTCCCACTTGTAGTTCTACAGTTTTGATGATCTCAGAAAACAGTTTGGGAGCTTTATGGAAAAATAATAGGTAACGAAATGTCTCTCGTGTTAGTCAGAGGGGGCTATGTGCGGTCATGGGGGTGTTCTGTCAAGGGGGGATGAACAAAGGTGATGAATAAGGATGACATGCATGAGGACGCCAGAAATCCCACCACAGGTGGCAAGGCTCAGCTGTGCTCTCTCCCCCTTAGGAAGCAAGATCTCTGTCTCTGTTTCTGGCTGGTTGTCTGTCTCTCTCATGAGGCCAGCAAGAAGGTCTATAGCTATTTCTTATTATTTTAATTTTTAAAATTTATTTATGCATACAAGAACTGGGGTATAAGCCAGAAGTGCAGGGGGGTGAGAGGATTCACCAGAGACAGAGCGGGGAGCAGCACAGGAGGAAGCACTGAAATCCACTGCTGAAGGGAGCAGCAGGGAGACAGGAGAGGTCAGCTACACCATGTGGGTCAGCTCCCTGGCCGGGGATCGAACTCGCGCTGCAGTAGCTGGCAATAGCTTGATAGTGCTGAGACCTCAACCCCTGCGCCACCAGGGAAGCCCAAGAAAGTCTACAACCCAAGCACAAGGGAGGGGGCTGGCCAGGAAGAAGCCCCTGGGCACTGAGTCTGACACCAGCAGGCATAGCCACTCACTGACTGAGCAGCCCTGGGCAAGCTGCTTCCTCATCTGTAACTTTCCCATCTGTAAACTGGGAATAATGACAGTTTGTTGTGAGACTCAAATGCATTGATGGATCAGCACAGTACCTGACACATAGCAAGTGCTCAAGAAACATGAGCTGCAACAGAACGTTAGGATGAGGTGAACAGCAGCTCCAGGAGAGCACGTCCTGTGGGGAAGACCAGACAGTGGGCACCAAGGGGCTGGTGAGCCGGGGAGTCAGCAGGGGGAGGGAGGCCTAGTCATGTGTGCTCCTGTCACTGTTACCATTACCGTGGCTTTCCTCCAAATTCACAATGATCTGTGAGCACAGCTTTTTGGAAAAGTTTTCACTCCTCACTCACACCTTTGAATACATTGGCTCACACAAGCCTCAGGTGTTAGGCTGGCTGCAAAGCTGCACACTGCTACACCTGCCCCATGGCGAGCAGACCTCTCGCTTAGCCTGGGCACCTGCCAGAATGTCCCTCGCCCTCCCTGGAGCCCCCTACCCCTGCGGCATATCACCTGCCAGTGTCACCCACCAGGCGCCCAATAGCAAACATTAGCACCCACCCAACAGGTGAGCCACATTCCGCCCTGGGGATGCTTGCTCACGGTCTCACCTGGAGTTGGCAGGACGCTGACTACCTGCACACATTTTGAGGAGACATGCCAGAGGTACCCACATTTTCATGCACTCCCAGGGCTCCCGTTAGCAGATGCTTCCAGCTTCATCAGGCCATTTAATCCTCAGGTCAGCCCAGTGAATCCCACTCATGCCCTTATTTATTTATTTATTTATTTAAATAGTAAGTGGCAATTTTTTTTTTAAAGATTTATTTTTTTTATTTAGTTATCCTTTTATACATGCACTGGGTACAGTGAGAAGTACGGGAGGGTGAGAGAATTCACCAGAGCCAGAGCGGGGAGCAGAGCAGGCAGAAGGACCGAAGTACACTGCTGAGGGGAGCAGCGGGCGGCAGGAGAGGTCTGCGCGCCATGTGGGACCCTCCTCCGGTGGCCGGGGAGCAGCCGGGGATCGAACCGGCGCTGCAGAGGCTGCAGACAGCCTCGCAACCCAGCGCTCAACCGCTGCGCCACTGGGGAGGCCCTCATGCCCTTATTTTAAACGAGCATGTTGGCACAGAGGGGTAATAAAACATACCTGGGGCCAGACATCTTGGAGCCGGCAGCCCGAAGAACTCCTCGACCCAAAAAAGCGATATTCTCACCTTATTTATTCCATGCCATTTTGACCCTCCGTGACCTACTCCACAGAAAATGCAGAAGACGGATGCAGCAGCCCCAACCCAGGGAGAGAGTTCACTTCCTCCTCTGGAGGTCCCTGTGGGAGGGAATAACATAAGTCAGCTGAGTTCTGGCTCCGCCCTTGGCAGATAGTCAAGTGTAGGAAGTTTATTTTATTTTTTTTAAGATTTATTTATTTATGCATACAAGAACCGGGGTCCAGGCCAGAGGTACGGGAGAATGAGAGGAGTCACCAGAGACAGAGCAGGGAACAGAACAGGCAGACTGATGAGATACACTGCTGAGGGGAGCAGCGGGGGAGCCAGGAGAGGTCTGCTGCCCCATGTGGGTATCATGCCTGCCAGCAGGGATCGAACCCGCACTGCAGAGGCTGCAGACAACTTCACAGCGCTGCGCTCAACCGCCTGCACCACCAGGAGAGACCTAATCGTAGGAAATTTGAGAAACCTCTCTGAGTCTTGGTCACGTCCTCTTAAAATGGGAACCTCAAGCATGTTGATTCTGGAGGCACCTGGAGCGGCGGCGTCCAGCCCCCCAAGGCAAGCTGCCCAGGCTTGAAGACTTCAGATGCTGCATTTAGACATCCAGGCATGCTGGGGTGACAACTCCCTGGGCTTTTGCCTGCTCCCCCCCCCCACCGCCACACACACACACACACACACACACACACACACTGGTGCCACTGACACTGCTCCCACCCACTCAGCCTCATCCTTTATTTCCCAGACAACGGAGCAGGCCAGGCTAGCAGCTAAAGAATCCAGGGCTGAACCCGAGAACAAAGGACACAAGTAGCCCCTAGTTGCCAGGGCAGACTCATGCCAGCCACGTCCTAGGAAAAAGCAGAAGTCAAGAGCACAGACATCCGTTCCAGAATTTCTTGTCTCTCCTCCAGAGCCCCCGCACCGCGGGATGTGTGGACCCAGAGAACAAATATGACCCAACTTCTACCTACAGATTTGGGAGCAGAATTAAAACCAGTGTAGCAGTAATCTAAACTTTTATTTAGATTTTGAGCCCAATGTATCATGGAATAGAAGGCCAGACTTCAATGAGTCATCTTCGTGGTGGGCCAGTTTGGGGCCTACGTTTTTTGATCTACACTTTCCTGTGCCCTTTAAGAAAAGACGATGGAAAAGTTGTCAACCTTCCTCAACCCCCAGCCCCCAAGCACATTTCTGCTGACAAAATCCAATCCAAAGACACAAACGTGGGTCTCTGGAAGATGTCAGGATTATGCTGCTGACGGTCCCTCTAAATATTCATTAAAGGGAAAGCTTTAAGAAGGCGTCCAGCTTAGACAGATAATTAACCAATTTAAATTTTTTTTCCCAAGAACAAACCCACTTTTATTGGCTTTTCAGTAAATTTAAATCCTGGAGGGGTACAGTACCATGCGGATTCTGGGTCCTGTGGCCTTAGCTGGAAGGTTGCTTCGGAATCTTGCGCGAACCATGTCACTGCTTCCCCGGGCATGTGTTACTTTACCCCAGGTTACTCTCGTTTTATTCGGTTTGCCACCAGGAGTCACTGTGTTGTTCTTTGCTTTGTACACATAAGCACATCTCTTGCCTGGATAGAATTCTGTCTCATCTCAAGCATAAACACCTTCAATTTTAAGAAGAGCTGTATGCCCCCTCTCGTTCCAGAGACCCCGCTGGTAGCCAGCAAAAATGGCCTGGACCATAGCCTTCCAGCCATATTTTAGAAGTCCTGTTCCCAGCAGGCCCCCACAGGGACCAGGATGGTGGAAAGAGCCAATTTAAATATTTGTAAGAAATTCCATTTCATGTAAAGGTGACGGTTTCAATTCTGTGTTACAGGATCTAATAAACAGCTTCATCACAGCTGTGTTCCTTATCCTAGTTGCTATCGTGGCCATGCAGGAGCTCTACAGAAGGCAGATGTACTCGATTGGAGGGGTAAGCAGAGGCCTTCGCGGCCCCACTTAAGATCAGCCTTTCAAGGTTTTGAAAGAGAAATTGGCGCACCATCATTATTTCATTTCTAGAACAACTTCCCCACCATGCCCTTCTCTCTCCCTCTTTTTTTTTTTTTTTTTAGATTTATTTATGCACACAAGAGCTGGGGTACAGGCCAGAGGTGTGGGGGGTGAGAGGATTCACCAGAGACAGAGTGGGGAGCAGAACAGGCGGATCTACTGAAATACACTGCTGAGGGAGCAGCGGGGAGACAGGAGAGGTCTGCTGCGCCATGTGGGTAGCTCTCTGGCGGGGGACCGAACTCGTGCTGCAGTGACTGCGGACAGCTTCATAGGTTGCATCTTAACCCCTTGCACCACCAGGGAGGCCCCCGTGCCCTTCTCTTTTGCACTGGCTTCCTCAGCAGATGTCACAATGCACAAACTCTAAGCTCACAAAAACTTTGCTTCTAATACTCACTCTCCAAAGGGGTTCAAAGGCAAACCTGTGGAACCCCTTTTGAAAATCTCACACCTATTCTTTAAAATGTCACAACAAGATGATTTTGGCTGTCCGTAGACTTCTCGGGACTAGAGAATTATATTTAAACTCACATGAAAAGAACGAGAATGGATTTTTACTTTATTGCAATTAGTTTGGAAAAATAAAAGCCGTGCGTTGTGAGAAGCAGTGACTCAGCCTGTGCAGGCGGGAAGAGGACGGTGCCAGCACGGGGCCCCCACCAGGCCGGCACCCTGTGACTTCATCCTCACGACTCTCATTTTCACAGCTCTGGGGACTGAGGTGCCCAGGTCACACGGCTGGAGCAAACTAGGACTCAAATCCTCATCATTTGAAGAACATTTTAAAAATGGCAGATACAATGCTTGGAGATTGGGATGCGGGGGGTAAAAAGTGAGGCTTGGTTTTTAAGCAGTTAAATAATAGAAACAGAAATTAATCCAGAAAAAAAAAAGTTGTTTGTTTGAGGTCATTTCATAATCAGTACATATTTGTCCAGCCCATTGGGCTGTGCCAGGCCTAGCTCAGTGTTGGGGGTGGAGTCCCCGCTCCCCAAGGGAGCTCATAGAGTACCTAGAAAAATCTCATTAAAGTAGACAGATTAAGGGCATCCCTGGTGGCCTCGGGGTTAAGTCTCAGCACTATCACTGCTAGGGCCTGAGTTCGATCCCCGGCCAGGGAGCTACCCACATGGCACAGCAGACCTCTCCTGTCCCCCTGCTGCTCCCCTCAGCAGTGGATTTCAGTAGATCCGCCTGTTCTGCTCCCCACTCTGTCTCTGGTGAATCCTCTCACTCTCTGCACCTCTGGCCTGCACCCCAGTTCTTCTACTCAAAAAAAAAAAAAAAAAAGAAAACAGACAGATGCAGTGACCATCAGGAGGAGCATCCAGGGCAGGCAGAACAGAGAGCGCCTATAAGCTCGGCCACTTGAGGCTGCCGGCTACCAGCTGCTAATTCAGCCACCAGGCCTTCTCCCAGCTGCCAGGGACTCCCCCCAGCACACAATGGTCTTCATCAACTCTTACCTGAACAGCGGGGCCTCCACCATCCCCAGGGTCCCTGCCTCCCTCCGGGTCATTTTCCATCACCTCGTGGTTACTGCCAGTGGCCTTTGGCGTCTGCCTCTGGGCCTCTTCTCTTGATCAAGTCCCAGGCCCTGCACCCGCCCTGCTGCAGCTCTGCCAGGGGCCCCAGCCACGCCACATTCCTTGGAGACCCAGTTGGGTACCTGGAGTTCTCGCCTCCTGGTTGGTCCCCTTGGGAGCCCCTTCCTGCCCTTCCAAACATGGCCCTGACCCCACCCCCACCTGGAGCCCCCTAGGAGGAGCATCCGCCTCAGGCATCAGGCAAGGTCATTCCTGGCGGCGAAACCCACCGCTTCCAAAATCCCTTTCTCTGGAGGAGGCAGAAGGGGCAGCAGAGTCAGCGGGGCAGCTGGGGACGGCCGCCCCAGGCCACAGCCGTCAGTCAGGAGGTCGCCCCGGCCCGCCCTGGGTGGGCACAGGGAAGACAACTCGTTGAGCTGCCAGATAACCCCACTCCCCTCCCGACACGTCTTTCCCCGCGCAGATCCTGTGTCTCACAGCCGCAATCCTGTGTATCGTCGACGCCATTCTGGTCACCAGGAATTTGAGGAGAAAAGTGAAAAGAGTCCTGGGCTTCAGAATCGAAGGCAAGAGCACGCCCTCCGCGGAACCGGACACGGCCGACAAGCCGGCAGAGCTCACCCAGGCCACGTCCCGGGCCAGCACCCCCGCGGAGTCGGTGCCGTCCAAGGCCAGCTCGGCGCCCGCGTCCCAGGCCAGCAGCGCGGGGAGCCTCCCGGGCGCGTCCAGGGCCACCAGCCTCGAGGCCGCCTCGGCGGCAGCCTCGCGGACATCCTCGCGGGCGCCCTCGCGGGCACCCTCGCAGGCACCCTCGCGGGCGGCGTCGCGGGGCTCCCGGGCCCGGCCCGGCCAGGTGTAGGAGCCCGGGCTGGGGTCCCCACGCACCCCTCGCCTGTTGTCGCCCGTCCCGGCCCACGCGTGCTCATAAAATCGGGAACGCGTCTGCTTCGGGTGCCGCGTGTGACTGCGGGGTCCGGGCGCCTGCCGGGGGGCGGTCGGGGCGAGGCCCTCCATCTCTCAGGGGTTCCAGCCAACTGGCACCCCGGGCGGGGGCAGGGGCTGCAGGCCCGGGGCAAATGCGCTGGGCTTTGCTGGGACCTGGAGGGGGTTCTGCGCACGGTGGGGGGAGCGCTGCTGCGTACCTGGGGCCACGCGGGTCCTCGCGGGGAGACCAGGCGGCCCCGAGACAACCCAGAAACCACCCAGCCGCGGGGGAGCCGGCGCGCGCGCCAGGGGGGCGCGGGGGAGCCGGGGCGCGCGCCAGGGGGGCGCGGGGGAGCCGGGGCGCGTGCCAGGGGGCGCGGGGGAGCGGGGCGCGCGCCAGGGGGGCGAGAGGGAGCGGGGCGCGCGCCAGGGGGGCACGGGGGAGCCAGGGCGCGTGCCAGGGGGGCGCGGGGGAGCGCGCCAGGGGGGCGCGGGGGAGCCGGGGCGCGTGCCAGGGGGGCGCGGGGGAGCCGGGGCGCGCGCCAGGGGGGCACGGGGGAGCCAGGGCGCGTGCCAGGGGGGCGCGGGGGAGCGCGCCAGGGGGCGCAGGGGAGCCGGGGCGCGTGCCAGGGGGGCGCGGGGGAGCCGGGGCGCGCGCCAGGGGGCGCGGGCGTTGGTGTTGGCAGGTCCTCGGCCGTTGGCAGAGCTCGGCCCGGAGACGGTCGGTGGACACCAGGCTCCCTCAGAGGCCAGGTCTGTCCAGGGCCAGAGGGAGTGATCGGGCAGCCCGTGGAGAACATCAGCCCCCGGCGTGAAGATGGCGGACAAAGGCAAGAAGGACAAAGCCAAAGAGGCGAAGGAGGAGAAGAAGGACGAGAAGAAGGACGAGAAGAAGGACGAGAAGAAGGACGAGAAGAAGGACGAGAAGAAAGACGAGAAGAAGGGCGAGAAGAAGGGCGAGAAGAAAGAGAAGAAGGACGAGCAGAAGGACGAGCAGAAGGGCGAGCAGGGCGAGCAGAAGGACGAGCAGAAGGGCGAGCAGGGCGAGCAGGGCGAGCAGGGCGAGAAGCCGAAGAAGGAGCGGTCGGCGCAGCCCAGGGACGAGGTGGGCACGCGGAAGGGCTGCCGCCGCTACCGGTGGGAGTTCAAAGACAGCAACAAGGAGTTCTGGGTGATGGGACACGCGGAGGTCAAGATCCTGAGCGTAGTGAGTTGGGGGGCTCCCTCGGCGGGGGGGGGGTCGGGGTGGGAGGGGGGCGGGCCAGGGGCAGCAGCCTGCGGGCCCCAGCGCCGGGAACACCCTTTGTGCCTCAGACACGCGTGTCCCGGCAGGGCTGCCTGGTGGGCGCGATGACCATGTTCACGGGGACCCCCATACACCCCCTCATCCCGCTCATCCTCACCATGGAGCTGTCCATCTTCTGCTTCTTCTTCATTATCTACACCTTGGCCATCAACAGATACCTGCCTTTCATCCTGTGGCCCATTTCTGTAAGTACGGGGTGGGGGTGCCCAAGCGAGGGGCGCATTCCCAGGGGCGTACTGGCACCCCGAGGGGGACCCAACCGAGACACAGTTTCCCAATTTGTGCCCAAGGCTGGGGCTCAGCGCTTTCAGGGGAAGCCAAGACAGGGGCAGCACAGTCAGGCAGATACAACTCCTCAAGTCCATTTTGGGGGTGCGGACTCTTACCTACCTGACGGTCAAAGAAGGTTCCTGCTCTCCTTGGGGTGAGGGGTGTTGCAGCAAGCAACCAGCTGCTCCTCCCAGCCCCCGTGCCAGCTCCCACCTGACTGGGGAGAGCACCCCAGAAGGTACCCCATCTCCAGAATTCAGAGAAAACAATCATCCTAGAAAGCAGAAAAATAAAAAATGAGAATTTTTAAAAATCACATCTTAAGCAGCCTGAGCTGTGCGGTGAACAGCCCTGCGCAGGGTATTAAGCCCAGAAGGACGGGCAAGCCTGAGGCCAGGGCCCGTTGGAATGGGATGGAGCTGGGCGAGCTACTCCGCCACCCCCACCCGCTGCTTCTTCCTCTTTAACATGAGGACGGTCCATTGCTGGCGCATTGTTCCTGAGAATTAAATGTAAAGGGCCTGGCGTGATGCCGCCTGAGAACTTGGGGACTTGAAACCCTGCCCCGTCACCCACACAGTCCAGAGCACACCCACCTCGCTCCCGCCGAACCCCAGCCCCCTAGTCCACTGCACCTTTGCAGCGCACCTTGAATTGCTTACTTTACACGTGCAATGGGCTCAGGATGGCCAAGTAACTTGCCCCCTGTAACTCAGAAAAGGGATTCAAATCTAGCTGGCACTAGAACCTGAGTCCCCGACTATACTCTGTCCTGCCTCCTTGTTAAGAGTTACTAGGGTTGGGCCTCCCCGGTGGCGCAGCGGTTGAGCGCTGGGTTGCGAAGCTGCCCGCGGCCTCTGCGGTTCAATCCCCGGCTGCTCCCCGGCCTCCGGAGGAGGGTCCCACATGGCGCGCAGACCTCTCCTGCCGCCCGCTGCTCCCCTCAGCAGTGTACTTCGGTCCTTCTGCCTGCTCTGCTCCCCGCTCTGGCTCTGGTGAATTCTCTCACCCTCCCGCGCTTCTGACTGTACCCAGTGCTTGTATAAACAAACAAACAAACAAACAAATAAATAAATAAAACATGCCTCTATAAAAAAAAAAAAGAGTTACTAGGGTTCAGGGACCATAGGTCTGGGGCGGGGGGTAGGTGAGGACCCCTGAATGGGAAGTAAGAAGAAAACCACATAAGACTTCTGGGACAGAGACAGGCAGAGGATAATTTCCCAACCAAGGAGATAGAAGATTCTTACAGTCCCAGCAAGATGAGAAGCCAGTGAACTCTGAACACCCTCCTGCCGGCAGGGAAAGATGACCATACTGTGTTCACAAAGTGACCAAGCTGGCAAAAAAGACAGGGAAGCACACGGGTGCCAGGCCCAGAAACCAGGAGCAGCAATGAACTAAGTGGCCTAAGTGTGGGCAGGGATGGTCCTTCATGTGCTACTGCAGGAAGCTGGAGCTCAGGTGTTCACATGCTCTCAACTTAGGAGGTGAGGCCTTGGCCTCAAGCAGATCGGACGGTTAGACCTGAGACCCCTCTTTAAGGCAGCACCCTGCAGGGGCCTCCCTGGTGGCGCAAGGGTTAAGACACAACCTATGAAGCTGTCCGCAGCCTCTGCAGCATGAGTTCGATCCCAGCCAGGGAGCTACCCACATGGCACAGCAGACCTCTCCTGACTTGCCCGATGCTCCCCTCGGCAGCGTATTTCAGCAGATCCACCTGTTCTGCTCCCTACTCTATCTCTGTGAATCCTCTCCCCCCCACACCTCTGGCCTGTGCCCCAGCTCTTGTGTGAATAAATAAATAAATATTTTTTTAAAAAATACAGCACCCTGCAGAGACTGTTCAAGAGAACAGTCAGAGAAGACACGTTTCCCTTACAAAGAGGAACAAGAGAGTGTGATCATCTCTGCTGAGATGTGAGAGGGAAAAGCAAGAGAAGGAGAAACGTCGAGCCTGCACTTGGCACAGATTTGGGGTGCATCTCCACTGTTTTCACTCCAAGCGAGACAACTCAGAAATAAACCCACAGAGGTGGCATTATTACACAGCTGAATGGCATATTGAATAAATGCTCTTCGAACTTTAAGAGAATATCATGTTAAAATTTAAACTTTACAACAGAAGACGTCATAAACAAAAATTTTAAAACAAGCCAATAGAAAGATGGGACGAGGCATACAAAGAGACAGGAATCCCAAATGCCTAAAACATGTTGGGTTTTTTGTTTTGTTTTTGTTTTTTTTTAATGCTTCATTAGTAACCGCTGACCTGAAAATTAAAACAACACCGAGGCACCGTCTTGACACATCAGATTGGCAAAAATGTATAAGCCAGGGTGGTGGCAGTGACATGGGGAGCGAGCATGTGGCTACATTTCTGGTGTGAGAGGGTGAATGTGGGGGCGCTGTGCCAAGGAGAGGAGTTGGGGGAAGCATGGAGAAGAGCTCATCCATTGCAGCAGAGCTCGTGAGGACAGTCCTCTTCAGGGGAGACACAACCTAATGTGTCCAGTCTGGCTTATTCATAGTAGACTCATGGGTTAAAACTAACCAATTCAGGGCCTCCCTGGTGGCGCAAGGGGTTAAGCACCGCACTATGAAGCAATTCACAGCCTCTGCAACACGAGTTCGATCCCCGGCCCTCCAGGGAGCAACCTACATGTAGCTATCTCGCCTGCTGCTCCCCTCAGCAGTGTATTTCGTCAGTCTGCCTGTTCTGTTCCCCACTCTGTCTCCGGTGGATCCTCTCACCCTCCCACGCCTCTGGCCTGTACCCCAGCTCTTGTATGCATAAATAAATAAATCTTTAAAAAAAAAAAAACAACAACAAAAACTAACCCATTCAATCTTTGGCCCTCCAAATGGCTAGGTCTCAAAAAGTTTTATTTTTTTATTTTTTTTTTTTTATAATTTTTTTTTATAGAGGCATGTTTATTTATTTATTTATTAATTTTATTTGTTTGTTTGTTTGTTTTGTCTATACATGCACTGGGTACAGTCAGAAGCGCGGGAGGGTGAGAGAATTCACCAGAGCCAGAGCGGGGAGCAGAGCAGGCAGAAGGACCGAAGTACACTGCTGAGGGGAGCAGCGGGCGGCAGGAGAGGTCTGCGTGCCATGTGGGACCCTCCTCCGGTGGCCGGGGAGCAGCCGGGGATCGAACCGGCGCCGCAGAGGACGCGGGCAGCTTCGCAACCCAGCGCTCAACCGCTGCGCCACCGGGGAGGCCCGGTCTCAAAAAGTTTTAAAAAGCAAGTGCGACAAGATCTCTCACTGGTTTAAAAAAATGGGCCTGTAACGTCGGGGGGAAACACTAATGTGCACATGGGGAAACCAGCCGTCACCTCCACACACGGCCGCCCAGGACGGGGCGGGAAGGGACCGGGCAGGGAGGCTGCAGCTCACCCTGCTGCCGCTTCGCTGCTGTCGTTTCAAGAGCCCTAAAGCAGCTATTGGAAGACGCTGACTTCTGTTTGATCTCGGAGGCTCGGGGCCGGTGGAGGTGGGAGCAGGGACAGGACATAGTTTCTGTACGTTTGAAATGTATTACAATTCAAAACATTCGAAAGGGACAGAAAAGGCCTCAGACAAAGGGGTCCGGGAATGAGGAGCAGAGAGAATGGCACCCCAGAAACCCTGGGGGGGAAGTGGGTAGTCCAAGGTGAGCTGCTGCCCTCAGGATTGAAAGAGGGCGCAAGCTCTGAGCTAGCTTCTCCCCTGGAGAGGCGGCCTTCGGGAAGCAAGCACAGCCAGGTTAGAGAGAAACTGTGGTTTGGCCAACTGGGAAAAGCCTGGCTGTGCCAGGGAGCGACCGTGGGGGGTTCTTGAGGAGACAGCAGAGTGGAAGGCAGTCCTCCGGCCAGCCTGGGAACTTCTGGACCGTGGAGTGAGGGATCAGGTATGGGGCAGGGCAAGATGGAGGCCACTAGGGGTGAAAACGGGAGGACTGATGCCGGAGCAGGTGGTACAGCCTAACAAAGGAGATAGGGGGTGCTGGGAAGGGATCTGAGAGAAAGTGGAGGGCGGGGGGAGGGTGCAGGGGGATAAGGAGGTGGGGGGAAGAGAAGAGGCAGCCGCCAGAGTCCCATGGGGGGTGGGAGCGTCGGTGGGTGTTACCCCAGAGTCCACTAGAACCTCTTACCAGCAACACAGGCCTCCCCCAGACCCAGAGGGGGCGCTGGCCCTGAGAACAGAAAGACGATGTAGGTTGGCACACAGAGAGGACGTCGCTCAGCTGGACATCTAGGCACTTAGGTCCAGGCGCACTGGAGGAGGAAAATCACAAGTGCCGCCATCTTGGGAGTTCCCAGACCACAGGGCAGCAGAGGGCGCCCGCGAGGCAGTTAAGTATCCAGGGCTTGGGGTCTCAAAGCACCCAGCTGGGGGACCCCAGATATGTCCACATAACTCAGTTTGTATTATCTTCGTGTGTGTGTGTGTGTGTGTGTGTGTGTTTATATATATATGCAGATGTTCTAAACTCATGCCTGTTGGATTGGGGTTGGCTCTGGCTCCGGCCTCCACCCTCCTCAAGGTTGACTCATCTCTCCCGGCTCCAGGACATTCTCAACGACCTGTTCTCCTTTGTCTTCCTTGTGGGGACCCTGGTCTTTGCAGTGAGAATGCGACAGACCATGCCACTGCACTACTTCATCGCCTTGGTGAGTCTTTTTCATGCCGAGCTGTTTATTGGCTCAGAAATCACCTCCTCTGGATTACAGGTATCTCAGAAAAGGGCATCTTTTCTTTTCATGTCATCTTGGGATTCCAGCACAATTGAAAAGTAAAATTGGGGCCTCCCTGGTGGTCTAGGGGTTAAGTCTTAGTGCTGTCACCTCTGTGGCCTGAGTTCCATCCCTGGCCAGGGAGCTACGCACACAGCGCAGGAAACCTCTCCTGTCCTGCCCGCTGCTCCCCTCAGCAGTGTATCTCAGTCAATCCGCCTGTTCTGCTCCCCACTCTGTCTCTGGAGAATCCTTTCACCCTCCCGCGCCTCTGGCCTGCACCCCAGTTCTACAGCAAAATAAATTTAAAATCTTTAAAAAAAAAGTAAAATTGGCAAATGTTTCCTATGGCAGGGCCATTTACACCAAGATGATGTCCAGGGATCCTGTCCAGGTAGCAGCTGCCTTCTGGTAGCTTCAGGGAGCTACAGGACAGCCGCCCGGGGAGGCTGAGGCATCTGGGGGTCTGCTTGTTTGAGGGGACAGAGGGTGGCGCTGAACAGCATCTTCTGACAATGAGAAAACGTAACACAAGGATCCTTGTGTTTTTCCAGATCCTTATTGGCCTGGCTGGATTTTTTGCTTTAATCGATATTTGTCTCCAGAGAAAACACTTCAGGGGCAAGAGGATGAAAAAGAACGCGCTTGTTCCTCCTCCAGGAAAGGAGGCAGAAGAGGCTGAGAAGCCAGACGCAGAGAAGTCAGAGACCGGGAAGCCCGAGGCGGGGAAGCCCAAGGCCGCAAAGCCTGAGGCTGGGAAGCCCGAGGCAGCCAAGCCGGCCGCTGTGGCCGCGGAAGGGGCGCCAAAGAAGGGCAAGAAATGACAGGAGGGGACGCACACGGCCAGCGGCGGAGCCCCTTACACGCCATCTTCCACTGTCTCCCTTCTTTCTAGAATGGTTTCCTTTTCCATTTTAATCACCACCTTTGACTGGAAAAGAAATTTCTCGTATAAATGGATTTTAAAGTGTAATATGGACCTACACTGTTTTGCTCATTCAATGAAGGTTGCTGGAGGTTTCTGGCAACGCTGGACGCAGGCCGGGCGAGGCAGGCTGGCAGGCTGTGGGGCACAGAGGGTTTGGGGGGCCAGGGGTGTGGGTGACGCGGGCTGTCAACACTGACCAGCCTGAGGGGCCGAGGAAAACGAGGCTGGAAACGAAAAGTTGCATTTTATTCATCCAGGTATTTTAAGTTTGCCTTTTTAAAAAACGTCGTCTGCCTTGTGACTATCAGAAAAATAAGGCTCTGGGCCTTCCCTAGCTTGCTTTGCGGCTGAGCATGGGCCCTCACTTGGGGTTTTCACTCAGGAGGAGGGCGAGGGGGTGTTATCTCCTCAGGGATTGGGCCCCCCGAGAACCAGTCAGGCTGGCATCTGGGCCAAGAGGAGGAACCTGGGGACCATCGGGGCAGCAGTGGCCAACCAACTCGCCGGACCTGCAAGTGCCCGTGCCACCTCCAGCTTCCCAGGGGCGCATGTGCATACGCTCCAAGCTGGGGGTCAGGGGGCGCCAGAGCCCCCTCAAGCAGGGGCCTTGATCTGCCGTCCTGACAGGAAGGTCCTCCTCAGGAGAGCCACACGGCGTTGGGATCAACCCCTCTGGCTGCAAGGGGTTGGTTTCAGTCCCTAGACCAAGACGGTAAACTCCCGAGGTTTGGGGGGGCTGAGGCAAACGAGGTCACTGTGACAGATGATTTAAGCATCCCTCTGGCCGCCGAGGAAGGCCTCTTACAGATGCCCTCCCAACAGCGCAGGGAGGAGTCGGGGTGGTCTGGGATCTGGGGGGCAGAGGTGGTGACGGCAGCAGCGAGAAACAGGAAGAGATTTTAAAACCCCACAAAGTCTGAAGCGATGCAGGGCGCAGCCGGGGCGGGTGCCAGGAAGGGCGGGGAGCAGCACCGGCACCCCGGGGTGGAAGGGTCGAGGGCAGCGCCCTTCGCCGGGGCCCAGGCCTGCGAGAGCGTCACGCGTCTGGGTCGCGACTCCAAAGGCCCCGGGGCCCGCGGGGGCGGGGGCTCTTGGGGTGCGCTGGACCCTCCTCCCAGCCGGCGGGGGCCGAGCCCGGCTGGGGGCGGCCTGCGGAGCGCGCCCGCGGCGGGGCGGGGGGCGGCGGGGGGGTCGCGCGCCGGCGCGGGGGGCGCCCGGGACAGGGGAGCCGCCTCGAGGCCGTGGTTCCCGCGCCCCACAAGCTGGGGGTGGGCGACCCGTCGGGGCTGGAGACTCTCGCGGGACCCCGGGGAGTTGAGGGGCCGCCACCAGAGGGCCCCCGAGCCGCGGGGCCGAGGGGTCGGGGAGGACGAGGGGTCTGAGGAGGCCCCAGCCAGCCCCGCGGCGGGTCGTGCCCAGCGGGCGCCCGCAGCCGCGCAGCCGGGGTTCGAGCCGGGCGGGGAAGCAGGACCCGGGAAGGGGGGGGAGGGGCGGGACCGGAGGGGGCGTGGCGGGGGGGGGGGGGGGGGGGGGGGGGGGGGGGGTGGGGGGCGGGGGACGGTGGGGGCGGGGCTGGGGGCGGGGGGGGCGGGGGGGGGGGGGGGGCGGGGGCGGGGGGGGGGGGGCTGGTGGGGGGGGGTGGGGGCGGGGCGGGGGGCTGCGCCCCGCGGAGCGGGTCTGGCCTCTCTCCTTCCGCACAGTCCGGGTTTCCGCTTCCCTCCCGGGCGCGAGGGCGAGGGAGGGCGGCTGAGCCTCGGCCCCGGCCGCCGCCATGTGGCCCCCCGACCCGGACCCCGAGTCGGGGCCCGAGCCCGCCGAGCGCCCCCGGCCCGACGCGGGCGTGCCCGGGCTCCGCGCCCTGCTGCCGGCGCGCGCCTTCCTGTGCTCGCGCAAGGGCCGCCTCCTGCTGGCGGAGTCGGTGAGTGCGGGGCGCGCGGGGCCGCGGGGCGCGAGGCCGGGCGCGGGGACGCGAGGCCGGGGCGCGGGGCCGCCTTCTGGCCCCGGCCGGCGCCCCGGCCGCCCCCTCGCGGAGCCCCGCAAAGTTGGGCGAACTCGGGGCGCGGCCCGGACGGGCTCCCGGCACGACGCGGGGCGAGGCGGGACCCGAACCCAGCCCGCCCGCTCTGGAGCCCCCGCCGCGTGACCCCGGGCGCCGCGCGCTCTCCGGGCTCGGGCTCGGGCTGCGCCCCGCACCCTTGGCCCCGTCGCGGGCGCTCCCGCACCCCGGCCGGACCCCGCGGGGACTCCGCCCGCCCGGCCCGGCCCCGCCCGGCTCGCGGAGCTGGGGCGCCCCCGCGCCCCTCGTGGGCTTTCCCGGGCGCGCGGGGAGGGCCGGCCGGGCCGCGAGCTGCGGGGTGGAGGCCACCGTGGCCCCCGGCCAGCCGCGGGGGGCGGAGGGCAGCCGGGGTGGGAAGGGGACCCCCGGGACCGGGTGAGGCCCGGGCCGCCGAGGGGCCGCGCGGAGGGCGGGGGCCGGCGGGGTGACCTCACCGCCCCCCGCCCCCCTCCCCGCCGCGCGCCGGGCCTTTGTCCTCCGGACACTCCTAAAACTCGGCGCGGGTGGGGGGCCGGGGCTGCGCCTCCTGGCGCGCGGAGGAAAGGGAGGCGGGGGCCGGGCGGAGGGGAGGCCGGATGAGGGAGGAGCCCGGCGCTGGACAACCCCCGTCCTGCCCGCGACTCCCACTCTGCAGACGAGAAGGCTGAGGCCCAGGGCCAGGGCATGGGGGGGGGGTCAGCTGAGGGGTCAGGTGGGAGCACAGGGGTGGGGACAGGAGGAAGGGTTCGCCCAAGCACACCCCCCCACCCCCCCCCCCCCCACCCCCCGTCCCCAGGTGGCAGGAAGTGTCCCCGTCACCCCTTCCACTCCTGCAGTCATCCCAGAGCCACCTGCCCAGCACCCCCCCTCTCCGTGAGGCCCCAGGGCCCCCACTCCAGAGACACCTTCTGATTGGCCGCCCAGCCCCACCCTGAGGCTGTCGGAGGTGAACCTCGACTCTGCCCTCCGCTGAGGGGACCCCACCCCCACCGCCCATCCCGGCACGAGGGTGCTGGTGAGAGCGGAGGCAGCTGTGGTGAGGCTGGCGCGAGGAATGTAGGTCTGGGGAGAGGAGGCGCCGGAGGGGCGGAGGGGCGCCAGGGCGAGGTGTGGGTACCGGAGACGCCAAGGGGATCCTTCAGGTCACTCCTGCCTCCCCGAGGCCGCCCCAGGCCCACACAAATCAGGGGGCTGGCATAGACAGGAAGAGGGGAGGAAGTGGCCACCACAAATCAGGGAATGAGGAAACAACCAAGAGGAGGATCCCCAGAATGGGCTCTGGAGGGGGTGGGGGGCAGGAAGGGGAGGGACACTGCACAGGAAGTGCAGCAGGAGCTGTGGCCGCCCCAGGTCGCGGTCCCCGGGCCCCACCACCCTGGCAGCCCCCCTGCCCCGTCTGCTTGAGTTGGGCTCAGCTCCCCCACGGCCACGTTCAGGACAGATGTGGGGGCCCTGGGGACTCCCTGGGATCTCTGCAGCTCATTTGTCTGAGGCAGCCACTATGCTTCCTGTGGGGCCCCTGGGAGTCCCTGTGGGGTCCCCTGGGTCTAGCCCCAGACTCCACTCGGAGCGCCCCAGCCATGGACGTGCTCACATCAGCCACAGCGACCCACGCCAGGACAGAGAAAGACCAGCCCCACAGGGCCCGGATGCTTAAGAATTCCACCTGCGGCTCAAGTTCTGATGCCGCATGACACCGAGCCAGGCACTTCACCTGGGACCCACGGCCGCCTCCTGTAAAGGTGCTGTGCACGCACCTGGCACCAGGTGGTTGTGAAGGTCTGAGACGGCCCCACAGCTCAGCAGGGACAGGCCCAGTGAACAGTCCACATCTTGGTCTGCCCTGCAGCCCCCAGTCTGCAGAACAAACGGAGTCCTCAGCACCCGCCAGCATCCCTCACCCCCTCCCCACCGCCACGTGTGCGGACAGGACTGCAGAGAACGCTGGTTCTCCCCGGACAGAGTGCTGGGAGGCTGGGGAAATGCTGCAGCAGGGCCAGCCCCCCGGTGTGCTCTCTCACTGTGAAGCTCTGCAAAAGTATTTTAAAAAACAAGAATTAAACCATTAGCACCTCTTCACCCACCCCCTAGACGGCACAGTTGCAAACCCGTTTCCGTGTTTGCTTTATCGCATCCCTTACCCATCCATCTGCCCATCCATTTTTTGGACGCATTCACAGTAAATTGCAGACATTAATACATCTCAGTCTGAACGCTTAAGCATGCCTGTCGTGAACTCTCGCTCGAGTGTCACGGGTTGCATTCTTTTTCACAAAAATTTTCCATTCCGTGGAAAGCACAAACCTCAGGTGTTGTGTGTTGTTTTTGGAAACTGGTTCCTGCTTGGCGGGCTGTCCGAGGGACGGCCTAGGGTTGATTTGTCCCTACTGGGCACCAGCTGAGCTGAGTGAGCGCATGGAGCTGGTGGAGTGGGAGCAGGATGGGAGCCCCAGGAGGTGGCCTCTTGGGGGGCATCTAACACTTCCAGAAGACTGTGGTGTCCTGATTGGGTCCTGGCAGGAAGCTGGCAGTGGGGAAGCCGCGCCATCTAGACCTGCTCCACAGTGGGTTCTAACTCTGCTCTCTGGGGCTGGCGGGTGCCTTCCCCTCCTGGAGCCGCCTGTCTTCCTGACTGCAGCCCTGGCTTCGCGGGGCACTGGGGGAGGGCCCTGCAGAAGTTCTGATTTCTCTGCCCTCTATCCCCAGGGTCTCTCGTTCATCACCTTTGTCTGCTACGTGGCGTCCTCAGCATCTGCCTTCCTCACGGCCCCCCTCCTGGAGTTCCTGCTGGCCCTCTACTTCCTCTTTGCTGATGCCATGCAGCTCAACGACAAGTGGCAGGGCTTGTGCTGGCCCATGATGGTGAGTGCCGGGAGCCCTGGAAGGCGTTAGCTGCCCATCAGAGCCAGGCATCTGTCCCGCATCCTTTCTCACTGCGCTCAGGGGCTGGTAGCTTTCGACTGGCTTCAGGTCTCTGGCTCCAGAGACGGGATGACTTCACAGCTGCTGTGACCCACAGCTGTAGTGGCACCTCCAAGCTCCTGCTCCTCCTCGGAGGCTGGGAGCCCCTGCTGGCGTGCCCGGGTCTGGCCACCAGGTGGCGCGGGTGCTCCCCCACTGGGCCAGCCAGAAGCCTTCAGCCACAGGAATTCGAGCCATTTCCACACGCAGGGCAGGTTAGCTGAGGACGTGCAAGGCTGACCCAGACCTCGGCCATCTGGCGGTTTGTTTTATCACCTGGGAGGGCCTAGAGCCCCATCTTGAACTCTACTGTGTGGAATGGGTCCAAGAGAAGGGATGGCAAAGGCGGCTCTTCCACCCCAGGCTCTTGACTCATATCCAGCATGCTCCTGAGGTCTGTCCTCACTTTAGTGACAGGGAGAAACCATGACACATAAACGGACCTGCTACAGGCGTGTGGCAAACGAGGCTCCGGGCCAGATCTCCCCATTGAAAAGCAGGGAGGGTACAGGAGACAACACTTACAACTTCCATCCCCCGTCAAGTGGGGAGATCTGCTTCCTGGCCAAGCCACAGGCCAGCAGCAACCTGGCCCATGCCCTGCTGTCTGCCAGGCCCTAGCCCAGCCGGATCAGGGTCCAGGCGGTCTCAGAAGCTGGCAACCGGCAGGGGCACCTGGATAGTGGCAGGTGTGGGGGTGGGAGAGGACCAGGGAGTTCAGGTGAGGCCAGGACAGCGGGGAGCCTTGCGGATGCTGGGCCTGGGGCCGGGCTCATCCTCTGTGAACAGTAGGATTCCAGCCCTGTTCCTGCCCCCCCCCTGCCCCCTCTGAGCCTCTCTGCCCAGCCTTGGCTCCCAGCCAGCTCCCTCCCTACGCTCTGCCCCATTCCAGAGGGCTCAGGGCAAGGCAACCACCCCCCTGTCTCCCCAGGACTTCCTGCGCTGCGTCACAGCAGCCCTCATCTACTTCGCCATATCCATCACAGCTGTCGCCAAATACTCGGATGGCGCATCCAAAGCAGCCGGGGTAAGTAGCCGCCCTGCCCCAGGGAGGCGGATGCCCAGCAGTGCCCCTCGGGACACCCCATCAGGCGGGGATATTCTGTCCCTGCCTGGGCCCCTGGGCTGTCACATGAGTCTCGACGACTCCAGTCCTATTAGAAACTTACTGTGCCCCAAGTTTTGAAGGCCGCTTGGCAAACCAGGTTAACAGTTCATTTTCCTACCTGTCATTAACGGGTGGGGGCTGGTGTCTGCCAGTCGAGCCGCTTATCCAAGCAGATAAGAGGCGGGGAGGCTGGGTGGGCACTCCAGACAGCCCGCCCCATGCCCAGGCGCCGGATGACCCGGGTGACGCACGCCATCTGCCCTGTCCCCTGTATCCCACAGGTGTTTGGCTTCTTTGCCACCATCGTGTTTGCAATAGATTTCTACCTGATCTTTAACGACGTGGCCAAATTCCTCAAGCAAGGGGACTCCGCAGACGAGACCACCGCTGACAAGGCAGAAGGTAGGGTGGCTGCCCCGTGGGTTTCCACCTGGAAACCCCACTGAGCACCTGGGGTTTGCTGCAAGGACCCTGCCCTCCCTCGGGGATGCTTGCTTAAGTGGAGTAGGACCATTTCCTGTGTCCCCACAGGCGGGAAGTGTTTGCGCAGCCCGGTTCTCATAGCCTTTCATGCATCACTGATCATAAAGCCGGACCCCCAGAGAAGCCGGGGCCCTGGGGGCCTCAGCCTTGCCTGAAAGGGCAATCTGAGGGCAGAGCATACCAGTCACTCCCCTTTAGCTCCGGAGGCACTGTCTCCAGACTGCAGAGTGCCTGCCTGCCCCACAGCTGCCCTGCAGGCTCACCCACCTGTGGGTCCCTTGCGGAGGGACCCCGGCTGTCCTCCGTATCCTCAGCACCCACGAGAGCTCAGACCTGTTTTGCTGTTTATTTCCAAGGAAAGTGCGAGACACATCCTGACCCTCAGATCAGCCTTCTCCAACTCAGGATGGCCGTCGTGTCTGTTAACCTATTTTAAAGAAAAAAGGCTGAAAGTTGGGTGGCTGACAGCACAGCTATACCCATAAGCCACATTGTGCCCAGCACAGGGCAGGCATGTGGGGAGGTCCTGCAAGGGTGCCTCAGGAGGGGCCACCGATCCTGCCCTGGGAGGCCACCAGAAGGCCCCACCCATGGGCAGGGGGGCACAGCAGGTGGGGAGTGCAGCACAGAAGCGCAGAAAGCCCAGGAAGCGCCCAGGAGCTGACCCGGATGGCTGCCGGCTCAGCGGCTCTGGGGTCTCCTGGCCATTTCTCTGCCCCACCCTCCTTTGTGCCCCCAGGGGGTCCTTAAACAGAAGGATCAATGCCACTGTTGGCTGACAGCTCTGGGCCAGAAGCTCTGAGACCTCAGTTGGCGCCTTGCAACCGAGTAAATGGGTGTTCGGCCCAGTCCAGTGCTCCCTGCTCACTCCAGGGCCCTCGAGTCAACCTCTGTTGAGCTAAACACCTGCCAGCTGGCCTCATCAGCTCTCAGATGTGCAGGACAGACTTCCCACCCTCGGGGAGCTCAGTCCAGCAAGAGTTAGACCCAGAGAGAGTGGCGACGTACACAGCCGTCAGGGCATGCACAGGGACAGAGGAGCCAGGAGGAGGTGTTGTCTGTAAGAGCAGAACGGGAGCTGGAAGGCCTCCCCTGGTGCCAGCCAGGAGGCTGTGGGGGTCCCCCTAGAGCTGGGTTTCACTGGATGCATAGGAGTGTGCTGAGCAAGGAGGGCGAGGGGAGAGAGGACAGGATGATCCTCCCGTCCTGGTGAGGTGCTTCTCTGGTGAGGTGCAGCTGTGCCCTGTGCGGATGACTAAGACTGGACGGATAGAAGGGGGCTTTAGAGAGGGCCCTCGAGGCCCTGCCTTGGAGTTGGGGTCTCCCCGTTCGGTGCCTGCATATTTGAGGAGGGCCTGAGCTGAGGCTCCAGCCAACTGTTGGCCTTGCCTCTGGGACGGCTCCCAGACATTGTTCCCTGCCAAGCACCCTCTTTGCTTTCCTTTCAGAAGAGAATTCCAGTTCCGACTCCGACTCCGACTGAAGGCCTGCCGGCGCCCTGGAAGCCCAGCCATGTGGGCCTTCGCCCTGCACCTTCCAGCCAGCCAGCCGGAGCACAGCCAGGGGAGCGTGTCGGGAGGGAGGCTGTGACTTCGCGAGGGAGTTTCTGATGGAGCAGGCCTCCGCACAGCCCTGACGTGGCACTCCCGAGCCCAGCATGCGAGACTGCACCCCTCGGCTTAGCGCTATCTAACCACTCCACACGGGAGGCATTTTGAAATGTTCCAGCCCTTCTTCCCACATCTGTCCCGCAGGCCTTAAGCCCTATAACCTCCGCCAAAAACAACAAGCACACGGGGACAAAGCAGACAGAGCCTTATCGCCCACAACCCCCTCACCTGCGTTGGTGTGGGCTGGAGGGGCGAGGGCGAGTGTATCAGAACCACTGCGGGGCCTCCCCGCCGGGCCTCGGGGGCGGTCTGCATCGCTGCCCCTGCCCCTGCCCCTGCCGGCACTTTGTCCAGAGTGAGCCTTCCGCGATTCTTTTGCTCAAGGAGCACCAGGTCTCTCCATCCTTGAAGCATGAAGAAAACTGACTGTGGCCCTGACATCTGGGAGGGTGGGTGTCGGGCCCATAAGTGACACCTTGCACCCTTGGGAGCCATGTCTTTTTTGAGTGACATGATTATGGGTCTAAGGTTCTTTCAAAGAAACGCTCACCCCCACCCCAGCTTACCAGGCCCGAAAGACAGAAGTTCCAGGCTACGGCATCCCGGGTGGCTGGGCAGGCCCAGCCAAATCCTCCCCGCTTCTGGGGCCACCGTGCCTCTTTCTAGTCGCCAGAGCGGGACCCTGAGCCCCTCTGAGAGGCAAGACGTGCCTGCTGACGTCACTCAGCGACCCTGGGTTTGTATGTTCAGCGAGATTTTGTAACTTTACATAATTTTTTTTATACCAAAGCAGCTTCTTCAGTGGCATTTCCTGTGACCCAAGAGGCCTGAATGAGCCAGTTACACATTTAGGGATTTGTAAACTCTGTTCTTTTGCATGTGAATCTCCTATTCTGAAAAAAAAAAAAAATCCCACAATGGATTAAACCAGACTGACTACCTTCTGGGTGTGTGTGTGTGTGTGTGTGTGTGTGTGTGTGTGTGCGCGCGCGCGCGCGCAATGGATTAAACCAGACTGACTACCTGCTGGCTGTGTGTGTGTGTGTGTGTGTGTGTGTGTGTGCGCGCGCGCGCGCAATGGATTAAACCAGACTGACTACCTGCTGGCCGTGTGTGTGTGTGTGTGTGTGTGTGTGTGTGTGTGTGTGTGTGTGCGCACGCGCAATGGATTAAACCAGACTGACTACCTGCTGGCTGTGTGTGTGTGTGTGTGTGTGTGTGTGTGCAATGAATTAAACCAGACTGACTACCTGCTGGCCGTGTGTATGTGTGTGTGTGTGTGTCTGACAAAGCCGTGCCCCGAAGCTGTGCCCCCCAGAGCAGTGCCGTCAGCACAGGCTGCTCGTGCGCGTCCTCCGTGCGGGGCAGCCCACTAAGCTCTGACTCCCCAACTGCTCACACAGCTGCCAGACAGAGTTCCTGTCTGGCAGCTGAGGACACCAACAGAATGTTTGGTAATTTGCCCTGGTCATCACTGCCTCTGCCCCTCCCTCATCAGGATAACGTCCCAGGCTGGGTGACGCCAGGCAGCCAGAACCTTCGGAGCTCCTGGTTTGGAAACTTGCACCTTAAAGGGCCTCTGCACCTGGGGAAGATCCCAGGACGGGGCTTTGGCTCAGGCAATGGAAGAAGCCAGGCGTTCTGCCCCGACTCCCTCACAGCCATGTTCTAAAGAATACGAACGCTGAATGTCGAAGGGGAGGGGCGCAGACGGTCCCTGCTCTGCCCACCAGCCCGTCAGGCCCGCAAGCTGTCAGCACCGGGCCCCAGAGGCCTCGTCCCCGGGACATGGCTGCATTCACGCCCCACCTAGCAGGCCTGTTTCAGGAACCGGGTCCACAACCTCTGAGGGGCGGGAGGGTATGTCAGAGCAAAGAATGACGACACCATTTTACATGTCCATTTATTAAACAAGAACTCCTTCATGACAATTTAATACAATATTAGCGATTAGTGTTGAGAAAATTATTTCCCTCTACATACAAAAATACAGATTTGAACACTATGAAAACAATCAGACAAAGTACCATGAAAAATTGGTCCTTCAAAAGAAAGAAAGAGACTCTGCAGCTCGAGGCTTTGCCTGATGTCAGGGGCAAGCCAACAGGAGCAAAGGCTTCCGGGCCCCCAAACCACTCCAAGTGGACAGAGCCAAACCCAAGACCAGCTGGAGCTGGGGGGTGCCCGCCCCCGGGCGCCCGTGTGAGCCTGAGCTGCTAGGGCGGGAGCTCTGACCAACAGTATAAAGCAAAGTTTGCCATCACCACAGAGTGCCCCACAGCTGTCTAAACTGCTGAGAAGAAATAGTCTTAGGAAGCAGAGTGTAATAGTTATTAAATTAACGTTGCCCCCCAAAAGTGCTACTGGGTGAAGTACCAATGAGGAAATCATACTGGAGGCATTAGCTATCTGACTTGACTTCCTGGGACAGAAAATAATCACATACGCGGACCCTTCAACAGGAGAGAAGCGAGCTGCCACTTCACGGTTCAGTAAATCCCGTCCTTCATGTTGCAATGGCTCAGCTAGCTCACTAGAGATTTTTCTTGACCAGGCATAACTCGTGTCCCGCAGGGATGGGAAAGCAAAAGGAGCAGTTGGCGCATCATCTGGGCCTTGATTTCCTCAAGCTCCTCGCAGCAAGGAAGCTTTTTTTTTAAGGGCCACTGAGCCCAACGAGGGCATCTGTGAACTGAGCGGAAATGGAGGTGGAAGGTGAGCCCCAGGGCCCGCAGGGCAGGCCGCAGAGTCACGGGGACGGCCCGAGCGGGTCCTGGAAGACACCGGGCCAGAGGACGGCCTCCGGCTCGCCAGCCCACAGCAGCAGGCCTCCCCTGCGCAGACCCAGGGAAGACGAGGCCGGAGCCTGGGCGAGGTGCTTTACGTGACACGAGGACCACTCTCTTGCCGTCTGAGGCGAACAGCGGCTCTCCAGATGGAGCGAGTGGTTCAGAAATGCCAAATGCCATTATACTGATTAATAATTATTTCACAGAAATATACTCTTACTCTCAGACTATTTAAATAAGCAGAAACAAGGGGTCGGGGAGTAAATAGCAGAGAGGTGGAAAGGAATAGCCGGTGGAGGGGGGGTGGTTTTTTTTTCTTTATAAATACGTAAGACGTTTCAAGGGAAAATGGCCAGACCTCAACACCAGCATTGCTGAAAGCAATATTAAAAGGATACAATCTAAAATCATGCTACAAAAATAGTGTTATCTGATTTAACTAAATGTACATCTTTTTTCAATTCCATGATGGACAAGAGTGCTCATGTGACACACGGAAGGCACCGGAGGTGAAGTGATTATTTGTCTTGAAATATACAAAGAGAATTATCTACTTTGGGGAGGGGGGAAATACAGTCGTACCTGTAATAAATAGTTTAGTGTTTTTGCCACGGGTTCCTGAACCCCTAAAAGTTTCAACATATACAGATAGTTTCGATCCCTAGCATTCCGTTAGCGGGGCCCACATCAAGCCAAAGCAAACAATGGAAAGCACTGGTTTTGTCCACATCTCATCCTGAGGCAGGATTCGAAAATTCATTTTTTTGAAAGGGTTCCGGAGTGACAGTGGGCAGCTGGGCCACCCAGGCCTCCTCCGCGTCCCCATCACACCCCCCACCCCCCTACCCCGGCCTGTGGCCCAGCCAGTTCTCCCTTCAAGCCCTCAGTGTTTGCCTTCCTCACTTCTGCAGAGAAATGGTCTTGAAACTTCCAGAGCTGATTCTGGAAAAGGCAGGAAAGCCGAAGGGCAGGGAGAGGGAAGCAGCCATCCAAACCTGGTCCTGCCAGGTAAGTGCACCGGGGTCCTCCCCCCGCCGTCCCTGTCCAGCCCTTCAGGTGACTGTCCTGATGAAAGGGGGTAGTTGCCCGCTCCTGCTTTCAGCAGAGGCTCCCCAAAGATGACTCAGATCTGATGGCTCCAGATTGTCACTGAATCCCAGACAGACCATATTCTCAATCAATTATTTCACCCCTTCTCTGCTCTGAGGCACAATTATGAGATACTCTGGGCCTTGCCTCAAATCCCATCAACAAAGCCGATCAAGGTCATCGGAGGTAAGTTCTGAGTTCTCACTGGGGCCCCAGCTGTTAACCCCCCAGTGAAGGCGCCTGGCTTTGTGTCCCCAGGAAGCAGCCGCTGCAGGGCACTGCACAGCCGGCGGGCAGCACTGGCCCTGTGCAGAGACACTGCCCAAGGACCCAGAATCTAAGATGTGCTCTGGGCAAGCTGCATTGATTCAAACTCAGGAGGCTTATTGGTAACTTTTTTCTTTAAGTTTGTTTTAAGCAAAACTAGAAAGGGAAGGAAAAAAAGAAAAAAACCCAAAGTTGAGACACTGTCCAAACGGAATAAAAATCTAGGCCAAACAGCTCCAGGTACCAGGACCGACTGTTTCGAGCCGAGAGTGTACCGATGCCGTCGGTACACGTGGGCGTGAAGAAAAGTCACAGAGCAGTGACTTTCAAAGAACATTCCCTAAGAGATGTTGAGGGTATTCCCTTTCAGAGTCAGTTTGTAAATAAGAGAAATGTAAAAGGTCCAATATTTCAAGTGACCTTCTTCCCCAGGTCGGTTCTTACCATCTCTGACACTGGCAGTGAAGAGAAGACACAGGTGACTTGAAGAAAAGCCAGGCCTGTCTCCGAGCCAAGGAGGCGGCGTCAGGTCTGGACCTGTCCAGGTCCTCGAGTCCCCAAACTAGCCCCCAAGAGCCTGCCCACAGAGCCTAGGAGTGGGGGGCCCAACTTGGCTTCAGAAGACCTCACTTTCCCAAAGACGGGAGGCGGCTCGCCAAGGACATTTTCCGGAGACCCTCGGGTTGCGGCCTTGCCTAGTGCTATGGGCAGCCAACAGCAGATGGACATGCGGCCTCAGCTCGCCTCCTGGCCCTCACTGTGCGTCCTGGGAGTGGGTGCCGGTGACACAGGAGTGGCTTGGGGGAGAGAACGCCTGGGCCCTGCAAACCTATTCAAGGCTCATTCCCTGCAAACAAAAGCTCACACACGTGCAGAAACCCCCAGTGGCTTAGCCCAAGTCTGGATCACAAAGAAAGCAGATGAAACCGCAAACTTTTGAAAAGAGTAGGAAGACTTTCACCAGCCACCACGCTCCCGTGGATGATTGCTGCTGCCAAGTAAAACCCATTTTCTTTACCTTAAATCAAACTTCTCTGAGGAGATTTTAACCTGTGACTGACCTCGTCCTTCTTCAGCCTTCGATGTGTATTTTGGCTTTCGTGACTGTCATCTCTATGAACGGGGCAAGGTATCTCCCTCCACGCCTTCAGCAGAGCGCACGGAGGATACAGGAGAACCAGGGGTGGGAAAAAACAAAAAACAAAAAACCCAGCTCGGCCAGACCGGTGCCAAGATAAACTCGCTCCCAAGACGTCAGCGTTTGCATCTGTCTGAAACCACCAGAGGTTCCACCAAACGCTTCAGGGTTGCGATCATACAACCTCCAGGAACCGAGTCAAACAACCGCAGTTCTCCTCAAGTCTGGCACATGCTGTGCAAATCAGCATCGTCCCACCAGAAAACAGAAACACAAAGATCGCCTCAGCCTCGAAAGGCCCCAAGCCAAACTGACACGGGTCCGAGCTGGAGCTGCTAAATGCAAACACATGCTTTCTGCCAATCGCAAAAGAAATTTAAAAAGCCCCTGGAGGGCCCCAAGTCCAGATTGTCTTAGGCGTACGTGGAGGCAACTTAAGGAAAATGCAGGTGTCTCTATGCCCCCCCACACACACATCCTTGGGCCCCTCGTGGCCTGTCAGCCCCGCAGCCCCTGCAACAAGCTGTGTGGCCTGCACCGCCCCAGCTGGAGCACGTACCTGTAGTGGCAGTGAATTAAATACAAAGAAATATATTTACAAAATCCATGGGCAAGCCTCATGGCAGAAAGGATATTAAATAGTTACAGGGACATAAATATCTCCAAGGATTCTAACGCTCAGACACAGACCCACTCCCAGACCACTCTGGGGCACGAGGGGTCACTCTCTGCCATCGGTCGGCGTTCGGTGTCCGTGGGCTTCAGGGCTGGTTCCGCAGCTGGCAGCACGTCCTCGGGAGGCCGCCGTCTGCCTTCCACAAGATGACGAACTGGCTTTATTGCAGTGACTGGAAGACCCGGGCAAGGATCCTGCCCGAATGACGCTCTTTTTTGTCGATCCCACTTCACGGGCAGCTCTTCATGGAGGCCAAGTAACATGAGTCCCGGCACGAGATTTCTGATAACAGCCAGGGTGGTCCTGTCTTTCCCAGCGGGCCCCACTGAATGCAAGGCTGCGTTTCTGTGACCCTGCTTCTAAGTGGGAGTCTCAGAGGGACATAAGCCCAAGTCTGACCACGCGCACACACCCTCTGAATGCAAAATAAATACATGAAATGGACAGGTAGAATCCAGGTCTCCTCCAGAGTCACCACCTGCAATGGGGTCAAAGCCTGTGGTGCCTGCTTTGTAGGGCTTCACGGAGTACTTGGGGCCAAGGCTCTAACAGACGGGGCACGGCCTGGCTGCCCTCTGTGGAGCAGAAGGAAGCTGAGTGACCATCAGACCAGCCAGGTTGCACCGGAGCCCCTGACCCAGACCAGAAGCTTGACTCTGTGACCTGGGGTGCTGTCCCCAAAAGGCACTGGGCGGATGGTGCCAAAGCAGTCCAGGGAGTGGATGCCTAACCCTGAGCCCTCAGAGGCAGCCCTCGGTGCCACTTCCTGCAGAGTCCCCGGCCAGCGGTGTCACATGATCAACCCCCCCACCCCGGGTGCCCCGGGAAAATCAGATGCTGCTCTTCTGAGGAAGGCGCTGGTCATGTGTGCAGATGGCGGCGTCCCCACACGTCCCCTCCCCCAGCCCCACCCGTGCACGCACGCATCCGGACGTGCTCTCGTTGCACAGCGCCCTGCTGAAGTGTAAACAGTCGCCAGGACAAGGCCCCGGGGGTGCTCCACACTACTGCAAGACCGCCCCACCAGCTGTGTTTCTCCCTTGGTGAGGGCCAGACACAAAACATCAGAACTAGAGTGAGGTTTGTAAACATTAAAAACAGTTCACAGAGTGAAAACCCGACAAGTTAAAACGATTTTCCCATAAAAGAGACAATCTCTGAGAGAAAAACCAAAGCATCTACGGCATCACAGGGGCTCAATGAACTCATTCACCACAATAATCTTCGCTTTATGAAGAACCAATCCCAAACCGTACATAATTAGAACTGTCCCCCCAACTTCCATGATCGGTGGTCACAGGGACGACCCCAAGGCACCGAGCCGCCGCCGGCGCCGTCTGAAACATCAGCGGGAGGGTCCGTCGTGGTGCAAATTCAAGTATTTTCAAATCCTGCACAAATCTGCTCAGAATCACGTCAGGACTCTTCTCGGGCGCTTGAGGAACAGCACAGAGTCCTCGGGTGTCCCCACCTGCGGCCCCTGACACCGGCCGGCGGGCAAGCGTCTGGCTGCTGGAAGGCGCTGTCCTCCTTGTGTGGCTTATTTTACCTGAGAAGGTAAAATTACAGACTCTGCGCTTCAGCCCCAGTGTTCAGGGCAGGCAGGAAGCTGGACAAGATGGTCCCCGCGTTCCAGGCGGAGAATCTGGGATCCAGGGAGGTGATTCGCAGGAGCAGGAATCAGGTGACTTCTCAGCAGGGAGGCAGGAGGGGCCCGCAGCGCTGTCCCCGGAGGACTCAGGTTTTTCCCACTCCCACTAGGCGCAGGCCCAGCAGAGCGCACCCGAACCCCCGCACCCCCACACCCCAGCACCCCCGCGAGCCGCAGCTCCGGCCGTGCCGCCGTCTCGAACCGCGGGCGGGAAGACGGGCAGCGGGCAGGACTGCACAGCAGGACGACACACGGGCCTGGAAGGTGACTCGGGGGCCCAAAAATCGCTGCTGCTGGTTGGTCCCACCTCCATGTGGTGATTTTCCTGCCCGCGGCCCCCTCAGCAGCCCCATTTGATCCCAAGTCCTGACATGTACGAATACACACAGCAGGGTGGGCAGTCTGTGAAGCCTGTGCTCCGGGGCAGTGAAGACCCCAGGGGCGCGGCCGCCACAAGGCCAGCTGCGCCCGCGGCCACGAGTGCTGGGGGACCCGCGGGTCTCTCATGCCCACTCCTGTCTCAACACCCCTGCGTGGGGCTCCCAGCCTCACGTACCCACGAACAGGGCCACTCGGAGAACCTGCTCCCAGAATGAACTTTTACCATAAAAGACAAATTTCAACTGAATCACACGAAGAGCTGACGTGACAAGGGACAGAAAGCCTGACTAAAAGGACGGGCACAGGGCAAGAGCGGGAGGAGGCTCTGGCAGGGCCTCACGTGTCCAGGCGCTGGATCTCGGGGCGGCTGTCCACATCTCTGGACTCGGTGCGGGCCCGGATGTAGTCATTGGCACTCTGCTGGCGGAGGCTGACTCTCCACTTCTGCACCGCCAGGAATGTGTTCACCGCATACACTGCAGTTGCCAAGAAGCCAAATATCTGCAAGAAACAGGCCTGGTTAGTCCTGGGCATGCCCCTGCCACCAGGGTCTCTGGGCAGGACGCGGCCCTGAGCGCTTACAGTGACCCAGCTGTTGCAGCTGCTTCCAGCTGTATGCGTGCCTCAGCCCACTGAACGCTCAGTGGCCAGCCTGTGACCTCGCCTCCACCCAGGTGACCCATGCCAAGTCCTGCCTGGCCTGAAGACAGCTCGAAGCATCTTTTGAAGTACTTCAGGCCTATCAATCACAAAAGTGCCTCTTTCACCTCCCTGGTGGCACAAGGGGTTAAGCACAGCACTGTGAAGCTATCCATAGCCGCTGCAGCACGAATTCAATCTCCGGCCGGCCAGGGAGCTACCCACATGGTGCAGCAGACCTCTCCTGACTCACCTATTGCTCCCCTCAGCAGTGTATTTCAGTCAGTCTGCCTATTCTGTTCCCTATTCTGCCTCTGGTGAGTCCTCTCACCCCCACACCTCCGGCCTGTACCTAGCTTTTGTATGCATAAATAAATAAGTCTTAAAAAAAAAAAAAGTGCCTCTTTTACAGCACCTTCATGGCCACTGGTCATGGGCTGGAAAATATGATGTCAACAAAATACCACGTAGACAGTAAATCAGGGCCCACATGCGAGCCCCAAATCAAAGGGTAAGCCCTGAGATTCCAAATCAGTCTCTGAACCCCAACCTGCTGCTGTCTGCCTCTTACCTGGGCAGCTCTGCGTGCTCGGCTCCAGGGTGAGAAGTGCAGTTTTAATTATTAGATGAGACTGATAAATCACTATTCCACGTGATAGCTGGGAGAGCAGCTAATAATTCTTTTAATAAACCTCTTTTTCTTTTTAAAGATTTATTTATTTATACAAGAGCTGGGATACTGGCTAGAGGTGTGGGAGGAGAAGAAAATTCACCAGAGACAGCGTGGGGAACAGAACAGGCAGACGACCCAAAACACTGCTGAGGGGAGCAGCGGGCGAGACAGGAGAGGTCTGCCGTGCCATGTGGGAATCTCCCTGGCCGGCCGGGAATCAAACCCGCTGCGCCTCCAGCGAGGCCCCAATAAACCTTTTAATCCTCTCTCCCATTATGAAAGTGATACATAGTCTTTGTGAATACAGAAATTCAGAGTCCAGAGAGTCCTGTGTTATCTGCTTCCCACCCCACCCCTGTGGTATTCTGTGCCATCTGACTGCTCAGTGTTGTCAAGACTGAGTTGTTCTTCACTGAGACCCCACTCTGGCTCGTGAGGCTCTTGAAATCTATGTCACTAACAGTTATCCAGGGCTCCACGGGAAACAGCAGTGGTTCTCAAATGAGCGGTCATCAGAATCCCCGGGAGGGCTTACCGAGGCCCACTTCTGACACAGTAGCTCTGGGGAGCAAATTGCTGGGTGAGGGGTGAGACTGTGGTGCCACTGCCCGATAACATCGCCAGCAAAGAAAAAGTCCCAGGAGAATGAGGACACCCACTGGGGACAGAGGCGAGCAGCACAGGAAGTACACAAGTCGGCTGGTTGCTGGACCCGCTGAGTTCACTTACCACGGCAGCGATCTCTGCTTCGGCTTTGTGGTTTAAAGCAGCCAGGACGATCGATGCAATAAAGAAAAAGAAAGTGCTCAGTCCAGTGTTGACCAAATCCTAAAGAAAAAGGTGAAACGGGATCACTTGAAAAGAACCGTAACAGCCTCTGCCCTGAAAGCTACGGAAGGACTCTCCAAACAAGCAGCACAATACCCTGCCGCAAGGGCTCTCTGTGCTTCCTTCGCGATGGCTCAGGGGCACTGGCCACACAAAGGCAGAGAGGAGAAGGTGATGATGCTGCCTGATAAACTGCCACAGCAAATGCCCACGTTTCAACCAAGCATGTCACTGTTCCATAAGAACTTCTTGCAGAAAACCAAATCGCTAACCTAAAGACACACCCACTAATGAGCATCCAGAGTTCCGTTTTCACTTTCAAATCATCGTGGCATAGACGAAGCTCCCCAAGAATTCAGGATGGATGGAAACTAGTGAAATGCCCTCCACGGTCCCCTCATTCACTGGGGACATTCCAAACCCAGAGCTCGGGCCTGAGTGCACATTTCGTCCTCAAGTTCTTTCTTATGGATGGTCTTTCCAGCCTCTGTGTGGCTAAAGCCTACAGGATTTTCTCGTAAGCTTCTTACAAAGCTAATCAGGTCACATAGGCAATGCTCCAAGGATTTAACTCCTGCCTGTGCCTGTTGAGAGGAACACAGCACAGTGATTAGGAGTCACAGCCAGACCCAGGTCCTAATCAATCCTGACTCTGGATGAGCCACTTCACTTCTGTGCCTGACATGGGACTTGTTCTCTCCTCCCCTGGGAGTGGTTCTAAGGAAGTGGAACAGCACCCGGAGAGCCAAGTCTCACGCCCGGCTCAGCGTCAGGGCTCCCTAAGCACTCATTGTTACTTCTGTAATTACTACTTTGCATTTATTGTGACTTCTGTTATTAATACACAGCATTTGTTCTTGCTTCTGTTCTTGCTACCCTGGCATCGGGCCCTTGAGAGCCTGGGTCACACCAGAGGGCCTCCATGATCTCCCTGGGAAAGAAAGTCCCAGATGCCTGAAGTGCCATGTTGAGGTTACCGTCAACACACCTGGTAGGTCCTCCTGGCTGACCCGGAGGCCAAGATCCATCTCATTCCTCTTCTTAAAGATGCAAATGGTGGTGGGGGGGGGGGTGCTGGCAATCTATCACTACTGAGCCTATGCCCAGGAACCACACACACTCCTGTCAGTGATACTGCACAGGCTTGAAGAGAGTAAGAAAGTGCTGAATCTCTGTTCAAAAGCATCTACTAACAAGACAGTTTTCAGCTGTAACCTGCATAAACCAGGGCAAATTTTTCACTATTTAAAACCAGGAAGTGTTCAGTTAGGCTCAGCTCTGAGTAAGAAACTATAGCAGTGAAAAAAGAATATAAAATGTACTTTCCAGGGCCTCCCTGGTGGCACAACGGGTTAAGATGCATCACTGTGAAGCTATCTGCAGCCACTGCAGCACCACTTCGATCCCCAGCTGGCTAGGGAGCTACCCACATGGTGGAGCAGACCTCTCTTGTCTCACCTGCTGCTCCCTTCAGCAGTGTGTTTCAGTCCGTCCACCTGTTTTGTTCCCCACTCTGTTTCTGGTGAATCCTCTCACCCCCCACACCTCTGGCCTATACCCCAGTTCTTGTATGCATAAATAAATCTTTAAAATAAAAAACGTACTTTCCAAACCAAAGAATACACAGAAATGGGGAAATGTGTTAGAATACAATGCTGAGTCAACCATCAAACAAAATAGTATGTATATTAATGATGAATGAGTGAAAATATGAAGGTGGTTAAAGGTGAATAGTACCAAAGGTTTTGAAGACATTCATTTGTGTTATTTGCCTGTGAATTCCACATTTGTAAATTTATCTTAAATATCCTATTAGTGCAAAAAGTTCTAAGTATAATGATGTCCATCACAATATTATTTACAATAGCAAAGTAATGAACGCAAACATGATGCTCAGGAGTAGAGAATTTGTGAAATAAAATGTTATTTCTATAAAGGAATACTATGCAGCCATTAAAAATGATGATGTACTTGTACATGTAACATGGAAGATAGTCATGATAATTTAATTGAAAAAGCATGACTAATGGTTCCATTGCGCTCCACATACAGATCACAACATAAATGTGTGTGTGAAAGACAGTCTAGACTGGGCCTCCCCAGTGGCACAGCAGTTGAGCGCTGGGTTGCGAAGCTGCCCGCAGCCTCTGCAGTGCTGGTTCGATCCCCGGCTGCTCCCCGGCCACCCAGAGGAGGGTCCCACATGGCGCGCAGACCTCTCCTGCCGCCTGCTGCTCCCCTCAGTAGTGTACTTTGGTTCTTCTGCCTGCTCTGCTCCCCGCTCTGACTCTGGTGAATTCTTTCACCCTCCCGCGCTTCTGACTGTACCCAGTACTTGTATAAATAAATAAATTAGAGTTTTTAAAAAAAGACAGTCTGGAGAAAATAGTCTAAAAGGTTATACCCAAGCATTACCTGTGCTTATCCCTGAACGACATGTGTCACATATGATTTTTTTTTAATTAATTTATTTATTTATACAAGCACTAGGTATGGTCAGAAGCGTGGGAGGGTGAAAGAACTCACCAGAGCCAGAGCAAGGAACAGAACAGGCAGGCCGATGAAGTACACTGCTGAGGGGTGCAGCGGGCGCTCCAGGAGAGGTCTGTGCGCCATGTGGGACCCTCGCCGGTGGCTGGGTATCGAACCAGAGCTGCAGAGGCCGCGGGCAGCTTCATAGCCCAGCACTCAATCACTGCGCCACCACGGGAGGCCCACATATGATTTTTTTAACAGCTTTATTGAGCTATAATTCATGTGCCATATAATAAACCCCATTAAAAGGTACAATTCAATGACCATAATCTAAGTTCAGAACACTTTCATTACTCCAAAAGGAAACCTTATACTCCTTAGTGTATAATCCTAATCCCTAATCCTATACGACCACCAATCTGCTTTCTGTCTCTATGGATTTGCCTATTCTGTACATTTCATATAAAAATAATTATAGGGGCCTCCCCGGTGGCGTAGTGGTTGAGCGCTGTACTGCAAAGCTGTCCACAGCCTCTGCAGCGCCGGTTCGATTCCCTGCCGGCCAGAGAGAACCCCACATGGCACAGCAGACCTCTCCTGCCTCGCCCGCTGCTCCCCTCAGCAGTGTACTTCATCAGTCTGCCTGTTCTGCTCCCCACTCTGGCTCTGGTGAATTCTCTCACCCTCCCATGCTTCTGACCTATACCCCAGTTCTTGTAAAAAATAAATAAATAAATCTTTATAAATAAATAAATAATTGTATAATATGTGGTCCTTTATGACTGCCTTCTTTCACTTATAAAAGTTTTAAAGCTCTTCAATTCCATACACCAACACTTCATTCCTTTTTACTCCCGCATAACATTCCAGTGTACAGACACACTGTATCTATTTATCTTTTCGTCAGCTGATGGGTCCAAACCTACTTATAACCCAAAACACCTCTAAGGCAAGATGCATTACTTTACTCTACTTTCATGAGGAAACTGAGTCCCAGAAAGGAAAAGTGTGGGAGAATGAAAAATATATACTTGGTCTGTCTCCTGTTCTTTGGAATTTTCCTGAGTTAAAGGCGTATCTTTTGTCATTTATAACAGGCCTCTACCAACACCCCAGAGTTTATGCTAATGAAGTGGCTCTGGAACCCCTAGGTAGTTTCAAGATGGAGACTAGTACCCAAAAAACCAACTAGGTGACTAGAAGGTTGGAATTTTCAGCCCTACCCTCACCCCTCAACCAAGCCTCGAAGGATGGCAGAGGGGCTAGAAATTGAGCTCAATCACCAAACGGCCAATGATGTTAATCAATCATGGCTACATAATGAAATCTCCATAAAAACCCTGAATGGGGTCTCCCTGATGGTGCAAGGAGTTACGTATCAGCACTATGAAGCTATCTCCAGCCACTGCAGCACGAGTTCGATCCCCGGCCAGGGAGCTACCCACATGGCGCAGCAGACCTCTCCTGTCTTGCCTGCTGCTCCCCTCAGCAGTGGATTTCAGTGGATCTGCCTGTTCTGCTTCCTAGTCTGTCTCTGGTGAATCCTCTCACCCTCCACACCTCTGGCCTACACCCCAGCTCTTGTATGCATAAATAAATTAAAAATAAAACTTAAAAAAAAAAAACAGTTGAGACATTAAGACCTGTCACAAAAACTTAGACCAAGTGTCCCCAGTGTCTTGACATTCTGAAGCTTCAATTCAAAAGGCCATCACAGTTTTTCTCAGTTTTTCAACTGACATCAACTTTACTAAGTCAGCAGCTCCCCTTTTATTTTTCCTCCTAAATGAGTTCCAGCCCATTAGGACCAGAGAAAGGACCTTCTGTCAGGAAGACCCTCCCCTCTCAGCACCCCAAGGACCACCACGGGGTTGGCCTTGCCAGGCAAGGTGACCAGCTCCGGCCTCCTCAGCTTCAAATACAGTCAGCACCGGCCAAGCAGAAAGGAGCAGGCAGGGGGCGGGAGGTCTGGGCACCTTCCCCTCCTCGGGCACTGTGTGCCCTCAGGGCCCCACCCACAGGCACAGGAGGCCAGGCCCCTGGGCTGCTCTCCCTTATCTCCCTGACTGACCCCCTGGAGCTCTGGCACGTGTTTATTTGCAAAGAAGTTTTAAAAAGGTGACTAAGTTTCTCGTCAGCACAGTGAGAGGAGTAGCACACATCCAGGGAGCAGGGCCGGGGAGTGACCAGCCTGGAGCTTCCCTCGCGGTCACAAGGGCGGAGAAGTCAAGCCAGGGAGAGCGGGGGATGCATTTCCACTCAAGACTCTGGTCAAGCCACCAACCCTGGCACGGTCCTGCCGGTTGCTATGAATTTAATGATGATACCAGACATTCACAGTTTTCCATTCTTCCTGAATCAATACTTTTGGAAATGGCTTTTGGGTCCAGTGTGGAAAATATGTAAATATATTCATTCCATTTTTCTCTTGCCCATATTCTGCAAATACCAGCATCACCAATCAGAGGATCACGAAATTGAAGTAACATCTTGAAAGGGGTCAAAACAATTCGGTTATGGTGTTTCATACCATTAGAGAAGATTCGATGCCTTCTGTAGTTTCACTGAACCCAGTAAAGAAATGTGAAATCTCACAGCCGAATTACATGGGACTATTTAAATGTCAAAATGAACCGAACCAAGCGTGACCTGGAGAGAGTCCAGCTTTCCCTGTACTCACTGTCAGGTTCCAGTTGATCTGGGGGATCCTCATGTGAAGGTTGAGACTGAACAGAATCAGCAAGACTCCAGTCACCACGAGCGCACTGCAGCTCACAAACTCAAAAAAGTAGAGGCCTTCACACGGCGCGCACTCCATGATGGTCTCTATGCAGATGAACGCGATCAGGGCCAGAATCTAGAAAGCAAAGCAGAAACACACATGTACGTGTAGTGCAAGGGTGTGGACAGACGCGCCTGCCGCAGTCACACACAACCCCACCAACACCAGCTTCGGCCGCGGCATTTTCCTCTGGGGGGCGACAACAGAACCATCAGGAATATGACCCCACTCGCTTCTCATGCACGCACGGGTGTCACAGGGAAAGGCCACCTTCCTGAGAGCAACGTCTCACCCCACCGAGTGCACAAACCGGCCTGGTGCCGGGCAGCCCTTGTGAAGCAGCAGGAAGATGGCTTTGGCCCTTCCTCCGCCACGAGCGGTGCTAGTTTATGCCTCAATCACGCCAGACTCTGAGAGGGTGGGGCCCTAGAGCTGCCCATCTTCCACCATCTGGAATTACCCGGTGGTTCGTGCTGTGGTCACGCAAGCTGGCCGAGACCCCCGTCAGCTTTAAAGGACTGGTACCACCCCCTTCTCCCCCAAAGAGCAGTCCCTACAAAATGAGACACCAAGCAGAGTCATTTGCACAGGGGCAGCCACATGGGATGAGGAAGCCACTGACCCCCCACAGCAGCAGTGCGTGACATCCTTGCGTGCTCGCAGGGAAGGACGAGGGCTCTGCTTCTCCCTCTGCCAGTACCCCACTCCGGGGCGGTGACCCGCACCTTCCCAACCCCGCGCGGGCCGTTCTCGTGTCCACTGTACGTCGGCACACAAGAGATGCAGGGTCTCCGCACGCACACATCATGCTCCTCCCTGGGGCCTCCCGCGAGTCTTCTGCACAACCATGGACTTCAATTCTCCATCTGAATTACATGCCTGACTTGCCATCAACTCACAAAGAAATACTTCATATACGGGAAACTCCTAAGCTCCCCCCACCCCACCGGCTGTAATTGGATCTAGTAATCTTGGGCAAGAAATAACATACTGTACTGATGAGTTACAAATGTTCCTGGTATGCTAACTTCAACCATATTGATGCGGGAGGTAACACCTACATTCTTAAATATTAAAATAAAAATGGCTTCCAGAAACATGCGCATCTGACAGGCCATTCAATTCAGACGTGAACAAAAGGGACGGAGATCCCTGCTGCTTAGTTCAGACATGAATGGAGGAGACAACGTTAAGGATTAAGGTGAAAAGGCAGTATGCTAGGTGGGGAGGCGTCCACAAAGGAGAAAATTTAAAGCAGGGCAGGAGAGTGAAACAGACCCAGGGCGGGGGCGGGGGGTGGGGGGTCCTTGAAATTTCAGGCAGCAGGGCCATGGAAGGCCTCGCATGGACGGTGCCATTTGAGAAAGAGCTAAAGTATTAGGGAACCGGGGCCTGGGGGAGGAGCCTCTAGCAGGGGGAAGGGCGAACGTGGGCAGGAGCCTCAGGGCCCTGGGAGGGCCCCCTGGGAGACCAGCATCAGGGGCGCAGGAAGGGCCATGCCCCTCTGCACGCACAGAAGCCCTGGGCGGTGGCGTGATCTGCTCTGGGCCTCAGGGTGGCCACCGGACTGCAGGGTTGAGCAGGGACACCAGCTGGGACACAGGCAGAAGCCCGAGGGGAGCCAGAAGGCCTCTGCCCTGGCCTGGGAAGGGGGCGGTGGCAGCACGGAGGGTGAGAGGTGCTGCATTCTCGGTGGGTGTGGAAAGTGGGGGCAGCAGGACTTGCTGGCAGGTGACTGGGCGAGAGAGGAAGAGGTGGTGAGCACGACGCCAAGGCCTGTGGCCTCGGCGGCTATAAGAAAGACACTGTCAGTGCCCGGGCAGGGGCGCCTGCGGGAGGGCGGGTTTGGAGTGCAGCCCTGGGCACACCAACTGTTAAGTTCCCGCTGGGCTCGGGCTGAGCTGTCTCGGGATGCTGCGCGCCGAGTCCAGCGGAGGGGTCTGGAATGGAGATGCAACTGGGAGTCACTGTGTAACAGGGGAGGTTCCCGGGAAGGAGGGGCTCCAGGTTCCCCGCCCCACCCCAGCAAGGGTGAAGCTGCGCAGGGAGGAGAAGCTGGAGGGGACGGGAGCGGAGGAGGAAAGCCAGGGCGGCACAGGGAGCGGAGACGAGGGCAGCAGCTGCGTCTCAGCCTTGGACCCGCACCGGGGGCTTGGGGACACCCGAGACAGACGGGGGCGAGAGCCGTGGGGGGCCGACAACCGCAGCCCTTACACCGTGACTCGTGTTTGGTTTTGCTCCTCTCGTCCAGACTTCTTGGCCTCTTGTGCCCCTTTCCAGTGGGTCCCCACCAGAAGGTGCCTTAGACACGTGGCAGCTTTGGGGCCTCGGGGGCCCTGCTCTGGCCCGACCATGTGTGGCTGGACATTTACCCACCGGGGGATGGGTAACTTTGGGGGCCTCTGGGGAACTATTGAATTATGTTCTTTTTTCCTCTCTCTCATGCACTGAGTATATTCCAGATCTCAGGCACTAGAGCATGTTTTGTCTTGATGCAGCGGATGGCAGAATCCATGTAGAGCGGGCAGGTTTGGGGGGTCCCAGAGTACCCCTCACTTTAGCCTGTCACAACTGGACTGGATGAGATGACCACTTGGGGGGCGAGCAGACAGACAGGAGCGCAGACAACAGGGCAGAGCCTGGGGCCCCCCAACATGTGGTGACAAAGAGTGAGATAACCTAGATTTAAATGTAGTTCACCGGTTTCTAACTGGATGTGGTAACCTGCGCAAGGCCTCCCCGTCACATCCTTGCGACACACAGAATAGGGCTGACCTGCCTCGCAGAAAAGACTTGAGGGGAGTTCATGTGACCTCAGAGGCCAGGTCAGAAAAGCCCCTGTGGCTCCTGCCTCCCCCTTCCTTGCATCACACACCCTGAGGCAGGCCTGCTGCTGCATCCTGAGGACGCTTCAGGGGTCTAGATGCAGGGAGCTAAAGCCTCCGGCCAACAGCCACTCCAGGGAGCCAACCTGGAGGCGGGTGCTCGGCCCCAGGCAAGTCTTCGCAGGACACAACCACAATTGATGACTTGAGGAGAACCTCCAGAGAAAACCCCAGCTAAGTCACTCTGGAATTCCTGACCTTTACAAAGTTAAGTAATAAAGATCTGTTGCCTGAAGTCACTAAGGGTTACGGTAATTAGTCATGCAGCAATAGGGGGAAAAGCACCGCTCTTATTCATGTTGGGATAACATTACTATTATAATTAATACTAGAAACAAGGACACATTACTCATTGATCATCTACAAATCCAGCACCACCCAGGCACTTAGTGCCTCTCAGCTGCACCGCAGCATCTGAGGTGACGCCGACCCCGCGTCACAGCTCGTGTCTCTCAGAGCAAGAGGCAGTGCTGGAGCTGGACAGCCCAGATTTGATCCTCGGTCCTTCTAGATGGCTTGCTTCCTCACAATTCACTAGAGTATTTCCCAACCAGTCACTCATCTATGCCTGCCTTCTTTGCACACCCCAAGCAATCGGGTTCAAAATTGAAAAGATCTGTAGAAAAGGACTCTGTGTCTGACAAAAGCTGCATGTGAAATAGGGAAACATACAGCATGTTATAATCTAAACACACATCATTTTTAAACCATGATATATGTCTCACACACCCTGTTTTCTAACCCACCTTTTCTACTAAACAGTGTATCCGCACCTCTGGCCTGTACCTCAGTCCCCGTATGCATAAATAAATAAATCTTTTAAAAAAACAACCACCAGTATATCCATAGGCATTTCCACATAAATGTAAACACAGCTGTCATTTTTAACGACTTCGTAGTATTTCTCTGTGTGTTTCAACACTACAAAGCAGTTAACTCAATTCTGCCTTTATCTACCTGAACATAACATCAGATCGCACGGGTTTAAAGTTTTATCCCACGAGGCTGCCCCCACGTTGACACCAAGAGCAAGTCCAGGTTGTTCCTTGTGCTTCCAACTGTCCTGCTATAAGCCAAATCCTCCTGGGGTTTGGTTAATTTACTAGGAAAGTTCACAGAGCTCAAGAAATCCACTTACTTACAAAGATTATCAAAGGAGAACAGGGAAGAGCCCCACGAAGAAGCACACGAGACAAGGCCGGGAAGGGTGTCAGGCAGGAGGTGCCTGTCCCCGTGGAGCTGAGAGACCACCACCCTCCCAGGTGACCGCGTTCTGGCTCACCCCTGACAGCCAGCCTCATCCTTGGGGCTCGGTAACACCCAATCAGACGTAGAAGGGGTTTTGCTATAAATATCAAAAGACACCTTCACCTCTCTTATCATTTAGGGAATTCCAAGGGTTTTAGGAGCTCTGTGCCAGAAACAGATGAAGACCAAATATGTCTTTCTTATATTGAATCACAAATTTAAAAAAAAATCACAAATCCCAAGTATTCACACAGAGATAGACACCCAGATACACGCATCTATACATGCACCATAATTTAATCAACCCCATATGGCTAGGTATTGAGGTGGTCCCTAATGCACTGTCATTATAAGCATACACTTTTTTTTGCCTGCCTTTTGAATCAGCAAAAAGTCACATTTTTCTCCAGCACAGCGACATCTAACAGCTGTTGCTAGAGAAAAACCTACCCAAGGACCAAAAGGAAGAAAATAAGGATCCAAATAACATTATACTGGACTCCAACAACTTCAAGGGAAACGGAGTCAAAAGCAACTCGAGTTATAATAATTTTGAGTGGACAAATGTCGCGTGCAAATAGCCTAGCGCTGTTTCGGAGATGTAAACAAGGAACAGCTGTGTCTTTGCTCATCAGGGGATCGTGGGTGCCCTTGACAAGGGCTGTCCCCACGCAGCAACTACCAGCTGCCCAGGAGCAAATACTGTCATGGTTGGTAAGGAAATAGCTATGGAAAGGTTGTCAGATTTCCACAATGGTGGCTAATTATGATGGCAGCACAAAAAAGAAAAACCAGGAAGGGGAGGGGGCAGAAAAGGATGGCTGGTTAAGTTAGGGTAAAACTTTTAAAATTTTCATGAAGCTCCGTGTCAGTAGTGGTGGGAGTGTAAACCGCCAGGGCCTTTCTGGAAGGTGGGGAGGGGGTTCAGCAGCACCCTCACCA